TGCTTCTTAAAGTATGATAGTTTTTAAATAGTTTAAACTTGGGCCTACAATACTCATATTCTCTACTTTTTATCAGATTTCAACATAAAATCAGAGTGGCTAGAGTGTAGTCTATCACAGTTATTTTGCCCAGAACAAGATGAAATTAGAAGAGGAAGGAGCAGGCAAGAAACTTTAAGGGGATGAGACTGTGAGCATTGAGTGTTGAGAGTTCTGTTGTCTAGTATGACAACAGAAAATGTAATACGTGCCAACGGTTTCTGAACCCTGACACATAACCACCCTAATGATTAGGGATTTTGGATTGTATTTCTTCATCAGTGTCAGCATTGCTGATAATGCTTGCTAGAAATAGTGTGAAACTATACTTTAACTTTAAACTAACAGTGTAGTTATATGATTTATTTTGATAATAGATGTTTGTTTTGACTCTTGCTAAAGAGGGTACAGATACTATTGAAAAATAAAAATCCTCTTTTGCTAGGTTTCAAGCTTATTTACATAATGGAAATCTGATGAAACCTATGTATACTCTTGTCAAAAAACGCACATATATGGAATTTTGCATATAATTTCAGGGATTCACATAACTGAAGCCAATTTATGGGCTCTGCTCTAACTCAATTTTTGCATTTTGGGGGCAGTTTTGTTTTTTTATTTAGTTCATGGCTTGCCTAATTTGTTGTAGAGTTACTTGATACTAGTGACCTGAAGTTGCAGGTTTACTTTTCATAAAGGATATTTAACCATAATTTTGCTATAGTCATGTATGTTAAGTTTAACTGTTTTATGTGTGAAAAATACACGTATACACCCACACATTATGATTGGATGAGATTCTGTAAATTAATCATAACTGAAAAAGCTCAAAATGTGCAAGTAGATATTATGTCACCTTTGGGAATAAGGGAAAGGTTATTCTCCTTTTAGAACTGTCACTTTACTATTTTGGGGAATGGAGTAAAAACTATTAGTTGACCAAAGCACTTCATTTTGTTTGGATTTGAGGTAACATAAAAATTGTGCATATTTATGGAATATCTGTAGTTACTCTGCTGTGCCATAGAATCCAAGAACATCTTATTCCTATCTACTGTAACCTATTATCTTTCAGTCAGTCAGCCTTTATCCGTCCTGGGTGCCCTATTCTCCTCCCTAGCCACTGGATTACCTATTTTTTTATAGCCCACATGTGAGTGAGATCATATGATATTTGTCTTCCTGAGCTTGGCTTATTTCCTCAACATAGTGACCTCTGGTTCTATCCATGGGGTTGTGAATGGCAAGATTTCATCATTTATTATGGCTGAGTAATACTCCATTGTGAATATGTATCACTTTTTTTTAATCCATTCATCATTGGATGGCCACTTAGGTGATTTCCATTTCTTGGCTGTTGTGAATAATGCTGCAGTGGGGATACACAGCAGACTCATAGAATGGCAGATGTCCTAAACAGCACTCTGGCCTCAGAGTCAGCCCTTAAGGCATTCAGATCTGGCTGAAGAGCCCATGAGAGTATTTTAGGCATGGAAAACCAAGACACTCTGGCAAAAAAAAAAAAAAGAAGAAGAAGACCTAAATGAAAGATCTCTGTGAGTGAGATCCCAGTGGAAAGAACGGGACCATCAAAGAAGGAGGTACCTTTCTCTGAAGGGAGGAGAGAACTTCCACTTTGACTATGACCCTGTCGGAATAAGATCGAAGTCAGCAAACTCAAAAGGCTTCCATAGCCTTGGCACCTCGTGACTAGAGCCTAGGGAGATTTCTGACGCCATAAACAAGAGTGTCAAATTGTTAAGTCAACAACAGGAGTCATTGTGTACTTACTCCTCATGTGGGATCTCTGTCCTTAATGTGTTGTCCAATGTGAAGTAATGCTATAACTAGTATTGAAACAGTATTTTACACTTTGTGTTTCTGTGTGGGTGCAAACTGATGAAATCTTTACTTAATATGTACTAAATCGATCTTCTGTATATAAAGATAATTGAGAATGAATCTTGATGTGAATGGAATGGGAGAGGGAGCAGGAGATGGGAGGGGTGCGAGTGGGAGGGAAGTTATCGGGGGAGAAAGCCATTGTAATCCATTAACTGTACTTTGGAAATTTATATTTACTAAATAGAAATTTTAAAAAAATAAATAAAAATAAAAACAAAAAAAATTTTTAAAAATGCTGCAATGAACATGGGAGGTCATATGTCTCATTAGCAGATGGATTTTCTTTACCTTGGATACAAAACCGAGTAGTAGGATTGCTGGATCATGCAGTGGATTCATTTTTAGCTTTTTGAGGAACATTAAAAAAAACCCACAGTGTTTTCCAATGATACTAATTTACATTCCCACCAACAGTGCAAGGGTTTCTTTTTCTCTGCATCCTTGACAACACTTAAGATCTTTAGTGTCTGATAATAGCCAGTCTTTTTGGTGTGAGCTGATAGCTCATTGTGGTTTCGATTTACATTTTCTGATGACTAGCAGTGCTGAGGATTTTTTTCATGTACCTGTTGGCATTTGTATGTTTTCCTTTGAGGAATGTTATTCAGATCTATTCATTTTTAAATTGGATTATTTGAGGGTTTTGGTTATTTGGGAAGGGCTTTTACTTGTTTGTTTACTACTGAGTTGTTTGAGTTCCATATATGTTTTGAAAATTAATCCCTTCTGAGAATGAAAGCTTGCAAATACCTTCTTCTGTTGTGTGAGTTGGCTCTTCAGTCTACTGTTTCCTTTGTCATGCAAAAACTCTCTTCCTTTGATGAAATCCTATTCACTTGTTTTAAATTTTGTTTCCTGTGCTTTTGGGATCTGGTATAGAAAACCCTCGCCTACTCCAGTGTCCTGAAGTGTTTCCCCTATGTTTTCTTCTAAAAGTTTCAAAATTTTGGGTCTCACATTTAGGTCTTTAATACATTTTGAATTGATAATGGTGAGAGATAAAGATCTGCATGTGGATAGCAGTTTTCCCAGCACCATTTATTGAAAAGACTGTCTTTTTCACAGTGCATGTTCTTAGCATCTCTGTAAAGGATCACTCGATGGTAGATGCGTGGATTTACTTCTAGGGTTGCAATTCTGTTCCACTGGCCTATGTTTTGATTGGATCTATTTTTCTGCCAATACCGTGCTGTTTTAATTACTGTTGCTTTGTCATATATTTTATATTAGATAGTGTAGTTCTTCCTGACTTGCTCTTATTTTGTTTTTAAGATTTATTCATTTAAAGTGAGTTGTGGGGTGGGGTTGGGGAAGAAAAAGAGAGGTTTTTCCATTCACTAATGACTGCAGTATTTCAATATCTATTTTTGAGCCAGGCCAAAGCCAGGAGCCAGAAACTCTATCTGGATTTCCTACATGGGAGTCAGGAGCCAAAGCACTTGGGTAATCTTCTGTTGCTTTCCCAGGTGCAGTAGCAGAGAGCAGGATCAGAAGCAGAGCATTAGGGACTTGAACCAGCTCTCCTATATGGGATTCCTGCTTTGCAAGCATCGTCTTAATCTGCCGAACCACATGCCAACTCCTCTTGCTTGTTCTTTTTGCTCAAAATCACTTTGGCTATTTGGGGTCTGTTGTGGTTCCATGCAAATTTTAGTAGTGTTTTTTCTAGCTCTGTGAAAAATTTCATTAGGGTTTTTATGGGGATTGCATTGAATCTGTAAGTCAGTTGATAATATGCACATTTTACAGCATTGTTCTTCCAGTCCATGAACATGGGCTGTCTTTTGTGTATTCTCTTCAATTTCTTTCATCAGTGCTATAGTTTTCATTATAGATACAGTTTACCTCTTTGGTTAAGTTTATTCCCAGGATTTGATTTTGATTTTGATTTTGAAAATGGGATTACTTTCTTGATTTATTTTTCAGATGATTCACTGTTGGTGTATAACAATACTACTAATTTTTGTACGCCGACTTTGTATCCTGCAAGTTAATGGAACATGTATCTTAGTTCTGACAGATTTTTGGTGGGGTCTTTGGGGTTTTCTGTATGTAACAGCGTGTCATCTGCAAACAGTGGCAGTTTGGCTTTCTTCTTTTCAATCTGGATGCTCTTTATTTCCTTCTCTTGCCTAATTGCTTTAGCTTTTATGTTATATAAAAGTCAAGTGGACATCCTCTTTTTCCAGATCTTAGAAAGCCTTCAGCTTTCTCCCATTCAGTTTAATGTTAACTGTTGGCTTGTTGTATATGGGCCTTTATTATGTTGAGCTATGTTCCTTCCATATCTAATTTGGTCAGAGTTTTCATCATGAAGAGATGTTGAATTTTATCAGTTGCCTTTTCTGCATCTATTTAGGTGACCATATGGTTTCTTTCATTCTGTTTATGTGGTGTATCACATTTATTGATTTGCAGATGTTAAACTGTCCTTACATACCTGGGATGAATACCACTTGATCACAGTGAGTGACCTTTTCAGTGTGCTGTTGGATTCAGTTTGCTAGTATTTTGTTGAAGGTTTTTGCAGTATATCACCAAGGATATTGGCTGTAGCTTGTCTTTTTTTTTTTTTTTTTTTTTTTTTGGCGTCCTTTCTGGTTTTGGTATCAAGGTAATGCTGCTTCATAGAATGAATTGGAACAATTCCCTCCTCTTCCATTTTTTGAAATAAAATAAGAAAGAATAGTGTTAATTCTTCTTTAACTGTTAGAATTCAGCAGTAAAGCTGTCTGGTCTGTTCTTTTCTTTGATGGGAGGTTTTTTAATTATTGACTCTAATGCTATTCATTATTGGTTAGATTAGGAGGTGTGGTAATGCTGGCAGCTCTTTTCTTCTTGCTTTCTTCCAGGTAACCTTTTTTAAGGCATTGTACTCTTTCACCTGGCTTCCATAGCTCTTATAAAGAGGACTTGCTGTGTTTATAGTTATTCACATTGGTATCTATAACCAGTTTAAGACCAGTAATATTGTATGTGCTCAAGTAAATAAAACAGCAGTGAAGTATCATAATAACTAACCTTGAGATTAATATTTTTCTGTTGCTTGGTCTTAGGGTTTTGACCCACCACATCAAAGTGACACAAGAACTATTTACATAGCCAACAGATTTCCTCAGAATGGCCTTTATACACCTCAGAAATTTATAGATAATCGGATCATTTCATCTAAGGTAAGGTTTAATCCTTTCATTATTAAAACTTTTTGAAAAGTGTTTTAGCCTATGTTTAAGTATGTATTTTTTTTAAAGATTTATTTATTTATTTGAAAGTCAGTTACACAGAGGAGAGGCAGAGAGAGAGAGAGAGAGGTCTTCCATCAACTTGTTCACTCCCCAGATGGCTGCAACGACTGGAGCTGCATCAATCCGAAGCCAGGAGCCAGGAGCTTCTGCTGGGTCTCCCATGTGGGTGCAGGGGCCGAAGCACTTGGGCCATCTTCTACTACTTTCCCAGGCCATAGCAGAGAGCTGAATCGGAAGTGAAGCAGCCAAGTCTCTAACTGGCGCCCATATGGGATGCTGGTGCTTCAGGCCAGGGTGTTAACCCACTGTGCCACAGCGCTGGCCCCTAAAGTATGTATTTATATCAATTACAAGTTCAGGAAAATGGTGGTTGATAGATTTATCTTAATCAAAATGATAAAATAAAGTAAGTTGTTAGTTGCTGGTATTAGGTCAACAGTCAAAAAAATTTATCTTCACTGAAATTAAACTAAGGAACCAATATTTATACTGTGTGTCAGATACTGTATTGAGTAGTTCTAATATTATAACATTTTGTGATTGCAGCAAACCTTTTAGGTAGCTGCCATAAAACCTGTTTTACGAAATATTGTTATACTGATTTTATTGTGTTTCTCCAGTTGAAGTGCTGGGAAATGGAATAATTTTCCCAAGGTTGCACACTAGTTAGTGGCTAGACTGGAGTTTGAACTCAGTTCCTTGTAACTTTAAAGCATGTTTCCTCCAATTTTATCACTCTTCTGTAAACATTTTATGATGCTGAACTACTGCTTCACTCTTACATATTCTTCCTTGTTTCGTTTTTCTCCATGGCATTTCTAAGACATTTTAGTTTCATTTTGAAGGTGAAGACTATAGAGTGCTGCTACCCCGTAGACTTTCTACTCTTGTTGGAAATGTCTCCACACAGTCCAGAAGGTTAACCACAAGCCACATGGAACCATTGAGGCCTTGAAATGTGGCTGGTACAACCGAGGAAGCAAAGTTGTAATCGGATTTAAATTCATTTAAGCGTCAGTAGCCACATATGACTAGTGGCTCTCCTATTGGATAGTGCAGTCATAAGGATGTGAGTCAAAGATACTTAGGGTAGCATTCTCCTCAAACCATAACTATTGCTTGATAGGACACCACAGGAAACATCTTTGTGTTACTGCTCCTTCCCAAAATGACTAATGTTTTTTCTCCCCTCTAATCTTGGTGTCATTTTACACAGTGATGCCCCCTTTTTTCTGTCTTCATGTTCACATATGTAACATTACCTTGGGGACATCTCTCATTTTGAACAATGTTCTGAAACAAAGGAAATGAAGAGTAAATATCGGAAGGATGGAGGAACTTCAGTGAGACAGTTCTGAGTAATTTATGAAAGAACTAGTGAGAGCTTTAAGATTGGTTTGTAACTTGAGGCATAATTTATGTACAGTAAAATTCACTGGGTTTGAGTGTGTCACTTGATGAGTTTTGACAGTGGTGTACTATCATGTGACCCCTACCACAGTCAGGATAGAGAGAGAGCATATCCCTCACTCGCGAAATTCTCTACTGCTCCTTTGTAACCACTCTCACTTGTTGTCACCGTCAAAACCAGTCAACTACTGATCTGCTTTGTGTGACTACAGTTTGGTCTTTTCTAGACTTTCCTATATACAAGCAAGTCTTTGTATCTGACTCCTTTTCACGTAACATGATGCTTTGAGATTCACCTTTGTTGTTGCAGATATCAGTGTCAGTAGTGCATTCTTTTCTCATGTATAGTTCAGCTGTCAGCTTGGGTTTGGATAGCTTAGGTTCTGAATTTGGATAATTTTCTTTGTGTGGTTCTCTCCCTACCTACATTTTCCCTTTTTTATTTCCAGCTATTTTTCTAGTCCTGAACTTTAAGCTAAGCCACATTTTTTTGATAAGGTTGTAGTTTTCTCCCTTCTAAGCTAAGAAACCAACAATTCACAATTTATACTTTTCCATTTGCAGTTTTTTTGAAGTTAAACTCTTCTGGTTTCTATCTATATTTTGGATACTTTCCAGACTTTTAAATAGCTTTTTTAAATCTAGTTTTTACAATCCTCATCTACTGGGTGGTCAATGGACCATTTAACTCCCACACTAGTGCTGGAAGCTGTGTGTCCTTCTGGAAAACTTTTGGAATTAAATGAATTACCTGGGTGTGGCTGTTTTTCTAGCAGAAGTCTTAGGTTTAAAATGTTTTGGCTACAGTTTCAAAAATTATATATTTACGTAAACATTGCCTTTTAAAATTTTTAACATAAATACTGTCTCTCATCTCTTTATTCTTCATTGTGCTGCTATTGCTTAAACTCCTTCCACACCAGATTACTTGCCATTCCGCCAACTCATGATGAATTCACCTGTCTGTATGCCTTTGCTATGATTTCATGTTGTTAAACATCACGTTTAATTGTAGATTTTATGTGTTTGTTGAGATTATAGATTTCATGTATAATTTCACATGTAGAGATGTGAAATTCATGTCTTTGGCTGTGTTTCAAGAATGTATCTATCTATATGGGTGCTGTCACTTTTATCCTGAACATTAATGAGTTCTGCCTCTCAATATTCCCTTTTTATACTGGTGCTGCCACTACTGAGTGAAAGTGTTTTATACATCCTAGGTTAGAATTGAAGATATAATTCCAACAAAGAGAGAATGTTAGATATTATAATATTTGTATACACAAAGTGAACTTGTGACATATGAGAATTTAGAAATAGCAGCCATCTTGAATTACAGCAGAGAAAATTAGGTTAAACTGTGTCTTTAAAAATCTTGACTTGGTTAGTAATCATTAAGGCTTCATCGCCTGACATCATATTTATCTGAAAAAAAAAACCACATTCAGCCATGCTTATTTATTCATTCATTAATCCCACAAAACTTTTGATCTCCAAGTATGTACCAAGTAGATATTTAAGTGAGTGCATAAAACAATGTCTCTGGCCTCAGGGATCTTTCATTCTACTGAGAGAATGTCCTTAGGGTGAAGTAAAAGTTCTATAAACTCCTTCCTTGTTTTATATATGAAGTTATGTTTTGAATTGTGATACCAGTAAAAATTGTAGTGTATAACACTATCCCTGTAATATAGTTTTATAGACTTACGAGCTGATTAATGATAGTAATAACAAACACTTGTATAGTAATTAGTGTGAGCTGGGTTCTATCCTCAGTGCTTCATAAATGTGTTAGTTCATTTAATTTTTTAAGACCTTTGTAAGATACAACTTGATTATCCTCATTTTATAAAGAAATGAAGTAGGATGCAGAAAGATTAAGTCCAAGGTCATTTGGTGAGTGCTATAATTAGGATATGTGCCACAGCAGTTTAATCCCCAAGCATCTATGCTCTTGACCACCGTACTCTATTGTCTTACCTTTTAAAATTGACATTGTGACAAATTTTCATATCCTTTTTGAAATTTTCTTAGTAATTATCCCAGTGATCATCTATCTAAAACATTTTTTAGCATTCTAGATTAATTTTCCATATCCCATAATAAACAAAGAATAATTCAAAGAATAATTTTGTAATCACATTTCCTGTTTTTTGTTTTTTGTTTTTTGTTTTTTTTTTTTTTTAGAGATTTATTTATATATTTGAGAGGCAGAGTTACAGACAGAAAGAGGGAGAGACATAGAGAGAGGTCTTCCCTCTGCTGGTTCACTTCCCAAATGGCTGCAATGGCCAAAGCTGGGCAGAACTGGGCCGATCCAAATCCAGGAGCCAGGAGCTTCTTCCAGGTCTCCCACATGGGTGCAGGGGCTCAAGCACTTAGGCTATCTTCCACTGCATTCCTAGGCCATTAGCAGAGAGCTGGACTGGAAGAGGAGCAGCCGGGACTAGAACCAGCACCCATATGGGATGCTGGGGCCACAGGCGGAGGATTAACCTATTGCATCACAGAACCAGCCCCAACATTTCCTGTTTCTGACACTGAACTAGATAAACATAAAATAAATGAAATTATTAAAATATTTTAGATTTACTTTCTTTTTTAAGATTTATTTTATTTATTTGAAGGAGTGACAGAGAGAGATAGAGACAGAGAGAGATCTTCAGTCCACTTGTTCACTCCTCAGATGGCCACAATGGCTGGAGCTGCACCGATCCAAAACCAGGAGTCAGGAGCTTCTTCGGAGTCTCCCAAGTGGGTGCAGGGGCCCAAGGACTTGGACCATCTTCCACTGCTTTCCCAGGCCATAGCAGAGAGCTGGATCGGAAGAGGAGCAGCCAGGACTAGAACCGGCGCCCTTATGGGATGCTGGCACTTCGGCCAAGGCTATAACCCACTACACTACAGTGCCAGCCCCATAGATTTACTTTCTATACTTCTGAAAGAAAATCAAGAATTTTATAGCAAGATTGATAGGTTCCACTTTATCTAATTTTTAAAAATTATACTAAAATTATCAATAAATGATAAATAAAATGGAAAATGGAATAAAAGTTCTGAATTTTAGAAACCAGATAAATTGCTTCCGTAACATCAAGAGTAACATGAGGGGCCTGTGTTGTGGCATAGCCAGTAAGGCTGCCACCTGAGACACCAGCATTCTATTTGAGTCCTGGATGCTCCACTTCCCAACCAGCTGCTTGCTACTTTCTTGGGAAACTCAGGGGAAGATGGCAGAAGTGTTTGGACCCCAGCCACCCATGTGGGAGAACTGGAAGAAGCTCTCAGCTCTTGGCTCCTGGCTTCAGACCTGCCTATCCCTGGCCATTGTGGCCATCTGGGGAATGAAAAAGCAGTTAGAGATTTCTTTCTCTGTCTCTCACTCTCTCTCTGTGACTCAGACTTTCAAATAAATAAATCTTTAAAAAAAAAAAAAATAGGTGGAGTGCCCTGGACTCAAACCAGTACTCTGATACGTGATACTGGCATTGCAGGTGGCGGCTTAACGTATTGCTCTACAATACTGGCTCCAAAGCAAAAAAAAGTTACATGAATTTGTCTAAAATCTTGGTAAAATCTTATTTTACCTTTCTTATTATATATAATAATATGTATGTTTTAAAATATTAATTTATTGATCTCTCTTTCTTTTTTAGTATACTGTGTGGAATTTTGTTCCAAAAAATTTATTTGAACAATTCAGAAGAGTGGCAAACTTTTATTTTCTTATTATATTTTTGGTTCAGGTAAGCTTTGTTGCTCAATTAAGTTTGTAAACAAGGTTTCTAAAAATATATCTCAGAATAAGGAAAAATTATTTTGTGTTCTTAATTGTTTGACAGTGGGTCCAGTTTTTTCCGCTAAGCATCCTCATTGTATTCAGTCACTGCAATGATTTAAGTCACTTCTAAATTTCTAAGAAATCACCTCTGCATATTAAGATTAATTATAGCTCATTTCATCACTGTTATGCTTTAATGCTAATAAGCATAAGCCACAAATATGACCCATCATCTTTCAGATGCTTTGTCTCATAATATAAATATTTTGGCTTCTTTCATTCATGTTTTCTGCACATATCTACCTATGGAATCACCATGGTACAAAGTAAGTTTTTCTATAGGTTTTAATTTGTTTATATCAACTTTTAAGCATCCCTATGAGGTTAGAACCTTTATTTAGGAGATCATTTTCTAAGCTTAAACCTCTGTTCATTACAGTCTATTTGACAGTTTCCTAATTTTCAGATTGTTTTGTGTATACTATATATGTGTATCAACAGAACAGCCTGTGAAACTTGAGTATAAATGAAGTTTTTTTTTTTTTTTAAATACTTATTTATTTGAAAGGCAACGTTATGGGGGCCGGGGGAGACAGAGAGAGAGAGAGAGAGAGAGGTCTTCTGTCCTGTGGTTCATTCTCCTAATGGTGGTGACAGCTGGAGCTGAGATGATTTGAAGCCAGGAGCTTCTTCCAGGTCTCCCACGTGGGTACAAGGACTCAAGCAATTGGACCTTCTTCTGCTTTCCCAGACACATTAGCTGAAACTTGGATGGGAAGAAGAGCATCCAGGACTCAAACACGCACCCATATGGATGCTTAGACCGTAGGCAGTGGCTTTACCTGCAGCGGTGATAGCGCACGTAATTGGATCACTACCACTTGTGAGAGACTTGGATTTAGTTCCTGCATCCTGGCTTCTGCCTGGCCCAGTTCTGGCAGTTACAGGCATTTGGGGAGTGAACCAGCAGATGGAAGCTCTTTCTTGTCTTTGCCCCTTTCTCAGATAAATAAATATTTCTAAACTATTGATTTTCATTTTCCTTTAAAAAGGTATACTTTTGTGAAATCAGTAGGTAAGACCAGAATTTTTTTTTAAAGATGGATTTATTTATTTGACAGGCAGAGTTATAGACAGAAAGAGGGAAAGGCAGAAATAAAGGTCTTCCATCCTTTCGTTCACTCCCCATATGGCTGCCATGGCCAGAGCTGGGCCAGTCCAAAGCCAGGAGCCAGGAGCTTTGTCTGGGTCTCCCACGCGGGTGCAGGAGCCGAAGGCAACACCTTCACCTGCTTCATCACAGTGCTAGCCCCAAGACCAGAAATTTAAAGTATCTATGAAATACAACAAATGGATCAGCCTACTCAGAGTAAAGAAACATTAATAATTCATTACATCTAGGTTCTACCCCTAGGTATTTGCTGCAAATGTATTATTTAATTTTTATTTTTAACTGGTACATTGAAATTATGCAAATTTGTGGGATATCATGTAATGTTTCAATATATTTATTTATTTTATAGTGTTCCAATCAGGGTAAGCATATATATATCTCCTGAAATATGTATCATTTATTACAAATTTATTTTACTTCTTCCATGATTTACTGAAACCTCAATTTTGTGATTTAGAAAATAATTGCAGCATCGTTTTCCTAGCTCTATCTCCCTCTGGCTCTGCTACAATGTAAAAAAAAATCACTTAGAGAAAAAGCCTCTTTCATAGTCCCATTCCTAGGTCTCTTTTTTATTATGGAGTTTATTTTGAATCCCAGCATAAAATTGGCTGACAGGGGGCCGGTGCTGTGGTTTAGCGGGTAAAGCCACTATCTGAAGCGCCGGCATCCCATATGGGCGCCTGTTTGAGTCCTGACTGCTCCACTTCTGATCTCGCTCTCTGCTATGGCCTGGGAAAGCAGTGGAAGATGGCCCAAGTCTTTAGGCCCCCACACCCGTGTGGGAGACCTGGAAGAAACTCCTGACTCCTGGCTTCGGATCAGCCCAGCTCCAGGGGTTGTGGCCATTTTGAGAGTAAACCAGTGGATGGAAGGACGCCCTACTGCTGCCTCTTTGTAATTCTGCCTTTCAAATAAATAAATAAATCTTTTAAAAAATAGTTGCTGACAGGCTTTTCAGCATTTATCAGGCTGTGCAGAGAAATGTGCATATACAAGTGGCTGTAGCACCACTTGTAGATGAATATTGAGGAAGAATTAACCTGTGTGTTAAGAAAAAAGTGACTGAGTCCCCTCTGGCAATACAATGAGTGTGCAATAGATATAAGTATTTTACCAATCCCATGTAATAGCCAACAAAGTGAAGTTAAGAAATTGTGAGCTAAACTATACTGACCATACAACAGTGTGAGAGTTTAGATGTTGATCATGTGATGTGAACAATATAAAAAATAATAATCTGCATTTTTTTTTACTAGCTTATGATTGATACACCTACCAGTCCAATTACCAGTGGACTTCCATTATTCTTTGTGATAACAGTAACTGCTATAAAACAGGTATGGGAATATTTTCTGTTGTTGTTTTCCCCCAAAGTCACTCTGAAGTTGTTAAAAACTGTATTTCCATTCCAAAGTCACTTTTATCACTGTGAAAAGTATTTCTATAAGAAAGCAGCAAATTTGTTTTATGTATGGTAAAATTAAACTTAACTGCTATGTTGTGTTTCAGTACCTGGTCACTCATGAAATGACTACAGTTGTTAAAATATATTGTTTCTTGCCGGCGCTGTAGCTCAATAGGCTAATCCTCTGCCTAGCGGCGCCGGCACACCGGGTTCTAGTCCCGGTCGGGGCGCCGGATTCTGTCCCGGTTGCCCCTCTTCCAGGCCAGCTCTCTGCTGTGGCCAGGGAGTGCAGTGGAGGATGGCCCAGGTGCTTGGGCCCTGCACCCCATGGGAGACCAGGAAAAGCACCTGGATCCTGGCTCCTGCCATCGGATCAGCGCGGTGCGCCGGCTGCAGCGGCGGCCATTGGAGGGTGAACCAACGGCAAAAGGAAGACCTTTCTCTCTCTGTCTCTCTCACTGTCCACTCTGCCTGTTAAAAAAAAAAAATATATATATATATATATATATTGTTTCTTTGTTAATGCCTAAAGCATTCAAAAACAGGAGTTATGTAAGGGGACTTCAAAATGTGTGAAAAATGGAATTAAAAGATGAGTTTATTTTGGTGCAAAAAAGGTCTTAAATACATGCATAATTTTTTCATAGTACATTTTTTCATGAGTTTTTTAAGACACCCTCATATATACAATGAGTTAGAGTTAATTTATATTTAATTATATGTTTGGTTTAAGGACATCCTTAAATTATGATCTGATGGAGAAGTTTATCTAAAAGTTGTTGGGCTACAGAAACAAGAACCTGGATTCTAAGTCTAATTTGTGGTTTTTAATGATGCAATGAATGGTGAATTGATTCAGGGAAAAAGTTCTGTAGAGCTTTCCTTTGTTTTACATGATTTTCTGTTGAAGTTGATTATTAAAGTGGTACTCTGGGGGAAATAAAATTGACAAAGTCTGATTGTAGAAAAACAAGATTATCGGATAAACATACTGAATAAGAATTAAATTCATAGAAATGTGTTGTCACTTTGGTTACCACTTGTCATATCTTGACAGGGTCTGAGTTAATATAGAATGAGCTCTTCCACCTGAGAGAGTGGTGACTGAAATTTCTTAAGTAATAGTGGTTAATTTCCATTTTAAAAATATAGGGATAAGGTATAAATTAATATCAGCATAAAATTGACAAAATTTTTACATTTCTGAGATGAAGTATGTTCTTTATCACTTATATAAGAAGACTAAAAGGAGCTTGTAGATTAGCAATTATGTCATACATCTGGTGTGTCAGAATGTTATGCCACAGCTCTCACTAAATTTGCCTTTCCTTTTTTCACTGTTCTGTTGGAGACAGGACTTCGTGTGTAAGTTAGTAAGCATCCAAGTCTCCTCATACTGTCACATGTTTACTTGATTTTGCAGATGTCATTGCCTCAAGGTAATAGATATGTGTCTCTTGTATGGAAATACTTTTTAGGTGACTTCATCTAATCCAGTGGCTTAAAGTGTCATCTGTCTGTTGATGGTTCTCAAATGTTTGTCTGTCCTGAAACTTATCTGAACTCCAAACACTGTTTGCACAACATTGCCACTTGGATATCTTAGAATAATTTCAAACAGAACTCTTGGTTTTGTTTCCTCTAAAACTATACTACCCTCTTAACCTTCAGTTTATTAAATGGCACTGCCATCCACCACCACCAGCTCTGGCTGCATTATCCTTTGACTTTTTTATTCCTGTCTTCAAGATCAACCTCATAATCCAAGCCATCATTTTCCCTTCCCTGGACATTTTCATTCCTCTCCCAGTAGTTCTAGCACTTTCCCTCCTACGGTTTTCACACAGCAGCCAGATCTCTTAAAGTCAGATCATAACTACCCTCCCACCTTAAAGCTGTGCAGTAGCTTCCCATCACACTTAGACCAAAACAAAAGTCTTTATAGTGATCTAGAAGGACTTGCACACTCTAGTCCCTGTTCCTTCTTTTACTGCACTCCCTACCGTTCTTCCTTTTATTTGCTGTGCTGCAGCCACAGTCTTCTTATACTCAGAAGTGAGTGTGCTCCTATCTCAAGGCTTGCTTTCTGGGAAGTTCTTGCTTCCTGGGAAGTTCTTCCACCAAATAATTGTACAGGTCAATCACTCATTTAACTTGGAAACTTAAAACTTTGGTCTTTTCTGACTACTATGCCACATTCTGATTTCCTTCCCTGAGCCTTTGTTCTTGAAATCATGTGTCACTACCTGTTGTTCTGTATAATAAATACTGCTTATTAGTTTAACTGTCATTTTCATTCGAATTCCAACCTTCCTTTCTTCTCTTATCCCCTTTTAGGCCATCTTTGCCCTTTGTGCTTTTATCAAAATAGTTATTTAGTGAGGTGGTCAGTTACTTATTTTTAACTTTTCCCAAGCATATGCACATAGTAAGTCATTTCTCCAGTTCTGTAATGGAAGATACAGTGCTCTAGTAAAATAGTCTTTACTCTCTAGAAGCTTAAAAATCTATGAAGTAGAAAGGTAAGACCAAATACAAAATTACTGATTTGCATTTCCACTTAAAAGGAAATCACCACTCCTTAACATTTAACCAAAAGATTTTTTTTTTTGGTGAAATGGTTATACGTGTTTCTCATTTTAACATTGATCCTTATAGCTTACATATTTTTTGAAGTACTAGAATTTTAATATTCTTCAGCCAAAATGCTTGGGATGAAAAGTATTTGAGATTTTGGACTTTCGCTGAGAGGAATTTTGTAATATTTACATGTACATAATAAATTATCTTCAGGGTAGGATCCCAAGTCTAAACACAAAACTGATTTATATTTCATATACACCTCATTGACATAGACTGAAAGTAATTTTATGCATTATTTTTCATGATTTTCTTCATAAAAGAAAGGTTCACATGAGATCAGATATGGAATTTTCCACTTGTGGTATGTCAGTGCTCAAAAAGTTCTGGATTTTAAGCATTTCTGATTTCAGAATTTCAAAATAGGGATATTGAACCTGTAGTTACAATTAATGCAAATGGTCTGTTGTTTAAGAAATGATGGAACTCTACCTCCATTTCAAAATCTGTTCTCTTTTTTTTCTGTTTATTATCTGTAATAGTCCTCTGAATTTATGCCTTTTCATTTACACATAGAAATAATTTAATTTAGTGATTGAATACTGTTAGGAAAAGGTAGAAGTCAAAAATTGACTTCCCAGCTTTCTAGCATGAGTACCTTGGTGAATAATCATGCCATTTGTGAAAATGAGAGACATTAGAAATGCAGCAGACTTTGAGAATGATATTATTAATTTAGTTTTGAGTTTGTTCAGGATATTCATAAGACATTCAAATGGAGATACTAATAATGTAGTTAAATATTCAGGTTTGGAGTCCAGAAGAGAGAGATAGATGAAGATATACATTTCAGAATTGCCAGAATATTTATATAATTTGAAGACAGGCATGAAAGAAATCTCCTAGTGGAGAGTAAATTTTGAGGAAATGTCCTAAGGTTGCACAGATGGAGCCTCCTATAAGGAAAGTGAGAAGTAACTGGAACTATCCTGTGAAACCAGGAACATGTGTATAATAAAAAGCAAGAGTGTCTCTAGTAGGAATGAATGTCCACTACTTATGAGCATATGTGTCAAAATAGCCAAATATAATTCTAGTGAATGAAATGTTTGCCAATTTTAAATTTTTTCTCATTTGATAAAAATATTTAAAAATATTTTCAAATTATGCTGAAAATATATTTTTTATTCTTTGGATATTACAGGGGTACGAAGATTGGTTGAGACATAACTCAGATAATGAAGTAAATGGAGCTCCTGTTTATGTTGTTCGAAGTGGTGGCCTTGTAAAAACTAGATCAAAAAATATTCGGGTATGCATCTGGTAAATTAGAAATCCATTATATTTTGGTAGCACATAATTCTAATCTGGATTATATTTTAGTTCAAAACCTGCTTTCCTCCTAGAGGCCGTTTACTTAGAACCAAATACAACTAAGTCCCTGCCTTTTAAAATTTGTGTATTCACTTTTCCCCATATTCTTCATAGGTAGGTGATATTGTTCGAATAGCCAAAGATGAAATTTTCCCTGCAGACTTGGTGCTTCTGTCCTCAGATAGACTTGATGGTTCATGTCACGTTACAACTGCTAGTTTGGATGGAGAAACTAACCTGAAGGTTTGTTCCATGTACATTTTTCATTATTGGTCTTGGTAAACAAAATATAGTGAGATGTATATGGCTATGGTCTTATTTTTCTTTGCTTTCAATAATAAAATTTGACCTCATAAAGGAAAAATCTTTTTAATTACTGAAATTTAAAAATACATGAAGTTTTTAAAAAGCAACTAATATTGATTTATTTCAAGAGTAGTCTTACATGGTTTAGTCAGTTCAAGTTAAAAACTGAAAGCATTTTTAGGAAAAATACAGTCTCATAATATTTTTGGTGCTTTTAAAAAATAACCAACAGCTTGAAATTTTGTCAGAGTACAGTCAAGGGTGAAAATTCACGTTTTCCCAATGAAATTCCTTATGATAAACTTTGAGCACTAGTGACTATACACACAGTTATTTCATATGCAAGTGGCCTCGCTAGACAGGAAAGGCCAAATCACAGTAGCTAACTATCTCCTTCTTTATTTTACATCCTTCTTTCTCCTGTTTTGCTAACTAAGGACTCAGTCAGATCCTGAAACTGTTCGGTTTAATCCTTTTCCCCCCAGACTCATGTGGCGGTTCCAGAAACAGCAGTGTTACAAACAGTTGCCAATTTGGACACCCTAGTGGCTGTGATAGAATGCCAGCAACCAGAAGCAGACCTGTACAGGTATGGTGTGATCATTCAGCATACTCATTTTAAGTCCTGTTTACAAACTTGGCTTTATAACCATAATCATAAAATGAATCCTTTGGCTAATTGGAGGCATTATTTGTGGGAAAGTCAGGGAAAGTGCATCTTAGGGGGGAAAAAAACTAACCACAGAATTTTCCAGAATTCTAAGCAAAAGATATTAATTCAAAAGAATGCTATCATTCACAAGGTCCTTCCCATTACCTTCTATTTCCTTATGAACTAGTATGTTCACTTTATAACAGTAGTTATAGTAGAAGTAAGCTCATTCCCCTCTGGGGCCAGCACTGTGGTATAATGAATTAAGCCACCTCCTGGAATGCTGATATCCCGTATGGACATTGGTTCAAGTCCCCTAATGCTCCACTTCCAATCTAGCTCCCTGCTAATGCCCCCGAGAAAGCAGCAGAAGATGACACAAGTACTTGGGTCCCTGCACCCATGTGGGAGACCTAGATGAAGCTTCTGGCTCCTGGCTTCAACCTGGCCCACTCCTGTCTGTTGTGGCCATTTGGGGAGTGAACCAGTAGGTGGAAGATCTCCCAGTGTCTCCCTCTCTGTCTCTGTAACTCTGCCTTTCAAATAAATAAAATAAATCTTTTTTTTTAAAAAAATGATTCCCTTGGAAAGAATTATCTAATGATTTTTTCATAAGTTCCATGAAGGCAGGAGCTATGTCTTGAGTTTCACTAGTATATATCTCTTTTAAATCAGAACTTTACAATTTATATAGCTTTCAGTATTTCCTTATATATAGCACATAATAAAATTTTTACAACTTTATTTAAATATTATCTTTAATAGCTATGAGTTAAGGACAGAAACTAATCTTATTCATTTTATTTACCCTCCATTACAGGAAACATAAAATAAATGTTTTCTTTAATTTTTAAAAAAAGTGGACACATAGAGCTTTCCTGTCTGCTGGTTCACTCTGCAAATGTCCACAACAGCTCTGGCTGGGCCAGATCAATGCTAGGAACCCCCGAGACTCACTCTGCATCTCCTGTGTGAGTGTCAGGGCCCCAAATATTGAGCCATTTCCAGCGACCTCCCATGGTGTTCATTAGCTGGAAGCTGGAATCAGAGCCAGGCCTCAAAACCAGGCACACATATGGGATGCAACTGATGCACTGAATACCCACCTCCTAATGTTTTCTTTATTTGTTAAAACTTTTTTTATTTGAGAGGTAGAGTTACAGAGAGAGAGAGGGAGAGACAGAGAGAAAGGTCTTCTATCCACTGGTTCACTCCCCAAATGGCCGAAATCACCAGAGCTGGGAACGATCCAAAGCCAGTAGCCAGGAGCTTCTTCTGGTTGCCCACATGGGTGCAGTGGCCCAAGCAACTGAACCATCTTCCACGCTTTCCTAGGCCATAAGCAGAGAACTGGAGCAGAAGAAGAACAGCTGGGACACTAACCAGTGCCCATATGGGATGCCAGCGCCGTAGATGGAGGCTTAGCCTGCTATGCCACAGTGCTGCCCCCATTTGTTAGATTTTTATAGATCTTGTTTCTGAAAACAGGGAAAGAAACAGAAGAACTAAATTCTTTTAACATTATAGTTTATTAAATACAACTATAGTATAAGTCATCTTGGATTATGAAATGGATGGGAAACTAAACTCATTTTTACTCAGTAATTGATAGTAAACTATAAATTATAACCAGATTATAAAAATCGCCTTCAGCTTCTTGTTAGTTGAAATATTTCAAACTCTTATCTTTAGTCATTGGCTTTTTCAAATATCTGCACGTCTATTTTGGATTACACCTTTGTAAAGGGGATTTTCTTCAAGTGATGTTGTAAAATCTTCCATTTCATCAAAGTTAAATCTTTACATATTTAAAAGTAAATTTTATAATTTTTTAAATGCTTTAAACACTATAAACTACAAGATTCTCTTAACTGTGAAGAATTAAGTACCTTAAGATGTTTTTATTGCTATTATGATCTCAGTAATGGTGAATTTTTAAAAGTTATGAGACTTCAGGGGCCGGCACTAGGTTAACACGCTGGCCGAAAGAGCCAGCATCCCATATGGGCACCGGTTCGAGACCCAGCTGCTCCACTTCAGATCCAGCCCTGTGCTATGGCCTGGGAAAGCAGTAGAAGATGACCCAAGTCCTTGGGCCCCTGAACCCATGTGGGAGACCCGGAGGAAGCTCCTGGCTTCTCATTGGCGCAGCTCCAGCCATTGCGGCCAATTGGGGAGTGAACCATCAGATGGAAGACCTCTCTCTCTCTGTCTCTCTGTCTCTCTGTCTCTCTGTCTCTCTGTGTAACTTGGACTTTCAAATAAATAAAAATCTTTAAAAAAAAGTTATGAGACTTCAAAATGATGCAGAATTAAGCAAACATAAGATTAATGTGAGATCAAATATGACTAGTACTTTGGTCTATGGTTTTTAACTTATCTTGGAAAATGGGGAGAAAGTAAAAATACTTTTTAAATTAACAGACAATTCCACTTTATAGCAGTGTATATGTTATTTAAAATATAAATGTAATATAATCATTAAACAAGGTATTTTAAAAATTCATTTATGTATTTGAAAAGCAGAGAAAGATCTTCTTCCACAGATTCGTTCGCTACATGCTCCCAGTAGCTGAGGCTGGGCCAAGCTAAAGCCAGGAGGGTGGCAGGGGCTAAAGCATTTGAGTCATCTCCTGCTGCTCCCCAGCAGGAAACACACTGGAAGTAGATCCAGAACTCCAACCTAGGCACTCTGATAATGGATTCCAAGTTTCAGATGGCATCTCAACTCTTGTGCAGACAGCTACTCCCAAAGCATGTTTTTTATAATAGAAAAATAACTCAATAATAGTGCAAAAAGACTTTGATTGCTGTTTTTGCTTATTCATTTATTCTACTAGTTTTTTTTTTTAAGATTTATTTATTTATTTGAAGGGCAGAGTTACATAGAGGCAGAGGCAGAGAGAGAGGTCTTTCATCCAATGGTTCACTCCCCAGATGGCTACAATGGATGGAGCTGCACCAGTCTGAAACTAGGAGCCTGAATCTTCCTCCGGGTCTCCCAAGTGGGTGCATGGGACCAAGGACTTGGACCATTTTCTACAGCTTTCCCAGGCCATAGCAGAGAGCTGGATTGGAAGAGGGGCAGCCAAAACTCAAACTGGCGCCCATATGGGATGCCAGCACTACAGGCAGCTGCTTTACCTGCTACGTCACAGCACCGGCCCAATTCTACAAATTATTATCGAGCATGAATGTCTCATTAGGTACATGATAGATAAAATGAATAAGAATAGTTTCTACCTTTGAAGAATTCATAGGAGTTAAAGAGAATATTTATATAAATTTCTTTTTTTCATTTTATTTACTCTATATAAATGAAATTCTGAAAGCATATTAAGTGTTCAAGTAGGAGAATGCTTAAGGATATATGGGAATATTAAAAATGATGTTTTTAGGGGCAGGTGTTTGTTCTAGCTGTTAAGACACCACTTGGGCCTGCGCCGCGGCTCAATAGGCTAATCCTCCACCTGTGGCACCAGCACCCCGGGTTCTAGTCCCAGTCAGGGTGCCAGATTCTATCCCGGTTGCTCCTCTTCCAGTCCAGCTCTCTGCTGTGGCCCGGGAGTACAGTGGAGGATGGCCCAAGTGCTTGGGCCCTGCACCCCATGGGAGACCAGGAGAAGCACCTGGCTCCTGGCTTCGGATCAGTGCGGTGCGCTGGCCGCAGTGTGCTGGCCGCAGTGGCCACTGGGGGGTGAACCAACGTAAAAGGAAGACCTTTCTCTGTCTCTTTCTCACTGTCCACTCTGCCTGTCAAAAACAAACAAACAAACAAACAAAAAAAGACACCACTTGGGAAGCTTTGTCAGACTGCCTGGGTTCAGGTCTCGGCTTCACTCCTGATTCCAGCTTCTTCTGGTGTTACACTGGGAAGCAGCAGGTGGTAACTTAAGTGGTTAGATCCCTGCTATCCTTATAGAAGACCTGGATTGAGTTTCTAGCTCCCAGCATTGGTCTGGCCAGCCATGGCTATTGTGGGCATTTGGGCAATGAACCTACAGATGGGAGCTCTTTGTCTGTTTACCTGCCTCTCAAATAAATAAAAAGAAAGCCAAAAAAAAAAAAATTTAAGAGAATTTCATGACATAGCTACATATCAAAATATGTCAAAAATACAGATTTCATATTATCCCAGTTATGTAAAAATAATGTTTGTGTGTGATCCAGTAGCTGAGTAGTTAGATAGCAAGATAGAGGAAGAAAAACCTGGAGAAATTATCTATCATAACATTAATGGTTATTTGCTGATGGCAATATTTCAGATGCTTTTAAAATAGCTACTTTTTCATACTTTCTAATACTTCTTGAAAGAATATAGATTGGTTTTATAGTTCAAAAAAGTATTTTAAGAAAAGGTGTTTTCCATCTTACTAGTGTTCTTAATGATTGTATTTAATGACTATGTAATAATCCAAGTGAGTGTACTAGAACCAAATTAAACTCTTAATACCCAACTCTGTTGTTTTTATATTAGACATATGACATGGTGCCTTATGACAAATCAGTTGGATAGTTCATTGCTTCCCTCCTCCATTTGATACAGTTTGTGTACTTAATTTCCTGGTCTCTGCCCTCTCTTGTCCCTCCTCAGTGTGTCCTGCTGATTTCTCCTCTTCCCCCTGAACTCTCCGTGTCAGAGCATGTCAGAGGGCCTCTTCCCTTCCCTACCTGTACCCTTCACTGTCTGCACTTATTCTCTGAGTGATCTCATCCAATCTGATGACTTTAAAGGCCACCTACATACTGATCACTTCCAGATTTATCTCTGCATCCACACTTCCTTCCCACACTTTACACTCTTACATCCAACTGCCTGTTCCATAATTCTGCCTGGAAATTTAGTAGAAATCTCCAAAAAGTCAGGGTAAGAAATTATTGATCCCTCCCAGACTTTTTCTGCCAACAGTCTTTCTATCTTTGTCACTGACAATCTGGCCTTCCAGTTAGGTCAAGCCAAAAACCCGGGTTCAACCATGACTCCTCCCATCTCTCTGCTCATCTTTCTTTACTTCTTTTCACATCTCACCCTAATTCCTCAGAACATTCTGTAGTTCACCTTCTGAATTCATCCAAAATCTGACTCTCTCACCAATTCCATCTATGCCAATACTATCTCTTGCCTGAATCACTGTTCTCAAAGGCCCACTTGCTGGTTTTTCCACTTTTCCCCTTCTCTCCCTTGCGGTCCATTCTCACAGACGCAGCCACAGTGATTCTTGTTACATGTGAGTCAGGTCTGTCCTGATCAAACCCTGCAGCGGCTCTCCATGTCAGTGAGAGGCAGAGCCCACATCCTTATCACCATCTGTAAGACCTTCCTGACCTCCCCTGGTCCCCAGACTCTTCTCTGACCCGAGTTCCTGTCCTCCTCCCTCTTGTTCATACTCCAGCTACACTGGCTTCCCTGCTTCTCTTTAGATATGCGTACGCCTCCCCACCTTCTCATTAGCTAGTCCTTGTGTAACTCTTTTACCACCTTCAAATCTTTATTAAAATCGCCTCCTCAGTGAGGCCTGCGTTGAATACTTAGGTGGCCTGCTCCTTCTTACCTATTCTCTTTTCTCATAACAATACTATGCTCTAATATACTGTATAATTTAGTCATTTGTTATGTTTATTGCTATTACCTCTCTCTCACTTGAATGTAAACTCCAAAGAAAGCCACTTTGTGTGGTTTGATCACTGATGTACCGGAAGCACCTAGAATGGTGTCTGGCATAGAGCAGGCCTTGCTATGTATTTGTTGACAGTTGAGGAAACAAACATCTTTATGTACTTAATTTTATGCACTTAAATTTTCCTTGTATTTAATTACTTCTTTATGATACGTATCAGCAAGATGTGTGTGTATACAGTTCACTTTATCTACTGAAGTACCTAAAGCAGTACCAGGTACATGAACATTATTGAATGAATGATAGAATTCCAAATTATTGCTTAAGAGTATGTGAAAATTTATATTGTATATTCACTAAGCAGATATTGAATGGAAAATTCATTATGATAACAGGCCACTCACTCTAGATTTCAGGCAATCAAAAATTAAAATATTTTAGGGCCAATGTTGAGACACAGTGGGTAAAGCTGCTGCCTGCAATGCCATCATCCCATATCAGAGTGCTGGTTTGAGTCCCAGCTATTCTGCTTCTGATCCAGTTCCCTGCTACTGTACCTGGGAAGGCAGTGGAAGATGGCCCAAGTACCTGGGCCCTGCCACCCACATGGGAGCCCTGGATGGAGTTCCTGGCTCCTGGCTTCAACCTGGCCCAGCCCTAACTGTCATGGCCATTTGGGGAGTGAACCAGCAGATGGAAAGTCTCTTACTCTGTGTCTCTCCCTCTGTATCATTCTACCTTTCAAATAAATAAAATAATCTCTTAAAACAATTGAAATATAACTGGAAAGCTAACAACGTTTTGAAAGGTTGTTACTTACCACCTTGTCCCTACCAATTAACTCATACATAGTAGTTGCTCAATGAATAATTGTTGAATGAATGAATAGGTCAAAGTATGATCTGATTCCAAATCAGATCTGATTCCAAAGTATGATCTAATTCTAAATCACAGGAGGCTTTCTTCAGTAAACTGTAATGAAATATGTGAACATTCATTGTTGACTAGACAATGTAAATTTCTTTATATAGCAATGATAAATTCTCATGATGGCCAAACTAGTAATAGTAATGATATATAACATTGTATGGTCAACTTTTTGGGGGCCGGTGCTGTGGCGCAGTGGGTTAACGCCCTGGCCTGAAGCGTCAGCATCCCATATGAGAACCAGTTCGAGACCCAACTGCTCCACTTCCCATCCAGCTCTCTGCTATGGTCTGGGAAAGCAGTGGAGGATGGCCCAAGTCCTTGGGCCCCTGTGCCCGAATGGGAGACCCGGAGGAAACTCCTGGCCCCTGGCTTCGGATTGGCCCAGCTCTAGCCATTGCGGCCAATTGCAGAGTGAACCAGCAGATGGAAGACCCCTCTCTCTCTCTCTCTCTCTCTCTGCCTTTCCTCTCCTGTGTAACTCTGCCTTTCAAATAAATAATTAAATATTTTAAAAAATTTGTATGGTCAACTTTTTAAAAAATATTTATTTATTTATTTGAAAGGCAGAGTTAGAGAGAGAGGGAGAGACAGAGAGAAAGGTCTTCCATCTGCTAGTTCACTCCCCAGATGGCCACAACAGCCAGAGCTGGGCCAATCCAAAGCCAGGAGCCAGGAGCTTCTTCCAGGTCTCCCATGTGGGTGCAGGGGCCCAAGGACTTGGGCCATCCTCTGCTGCTTTCCCAGATGCATTAGCAGGGAGCTGGATCAGAAGCGGAGCAGCCGGGACTCAAACTGCCGTCTACACGGCATGGCAGCACTGCAGACGGTGGCTTAACCCGCTGTGACACAGTGCCAGCCCCATATAATCAACTTTTAATTGCTTTAATTAAAAGAACATGAATGGAGATTCTTAAGAAGGAGGCTTATTTGGTTTACAGTTTTGGAAGTTCACAGTCAAAGATCAGATGGCCCTAGTAGTCTGGCTTCTGATAAGGGTGAAATGCATGTGGAGAAAGGATTCACATAGTAAGCCAAGAAGCACTCTTCCCTTGTAGAATCAAGAGTCTAGGGAGAGCATCATCTGAAAGCAAGCCGCAGTGAGTGACCTAAGGACTTCCCCTGAGGCCCACTCCTAGACATCATAATTAGGTCAAGTTTCCACCCTTAACCCATTACCCTTTACTATTACTCCATTAATCATTAACATAAGGCTTTGGGGACAAGTCCCTAATACAAGGATCTTTGGGGAACATTCAAACTCTTAGCCAAATCCTAGCAAACATTTCCATTGTCATTTTGAAAAATTTTTCATCCATTTCTTCATTTGTAGCTGGAGTAGAGATGGCAAGAATATTAAATTTGTTAAAACTGAAAAACTGTCTTTCTAGTTCATAACATGAATATTAGGCCATTCATGTATACAAAAGGTCAGTTTTATCTCCTGTATGAGAATAGTGCTAAAACTGTCTGAATGTTCTACCCATTGATGTCATAAGCAGAGCATCATATATTTTTATAATGTGATGAATTCTTTGATAGATTCATGGGACGAATGATAATAACTCAACAAATGGAAGAAATTGTAAGGTAAGAATAAATTCATGTTATCTGATTACTTTTAAGTGAGAACTTTTGGGGGAGGGATTAAAAGATAAAAGGAGATCAGGTAAATAAGCAGCACACTATGGGAAAGGGTTCATTTGAAAGCCTTTCACATTACATGTGCTACTTAATGTGCAGCAGAGCAAGTAAGGATGAAACAGATCCTATGAAATAATGTTAAAATAATTTAGTAAAATGGTGTACTTGTTTTGCTTTTCCTAATAATATTAGAGAGTCAACTGTAAAAGGAAGCATAGCTGCTTTTATTCATATCCTTACACCTTTCATGCTCCGACACTTATGGAAGAGAATGTGAAAAATGTTTTATGTGTCATTGAGCAAGCATCAATACCGTGGTCTTCTTCATTTAGAATCATGCCCTGCAAGTTGGAGTAGTCAGGAGCCAGTCCAGTCACTGAATCTTCTGCCTGGCTTTTTGCTTGGTTGATTGTTTCAGTTCAGTTTCCTCAGTATTCAGGTGCCTAAACGAAAGGATTTGGGTCAGTAAAAAATTTGCTGATACAATATGGAGATTGCATTGTTATTGACGACTGCAAGGCTTAATTTAGAATCCAAGCACTTTGGATTTATACTGGCTGCATGAAATAAGTTACTAACAGAAAGAATTGGGTATTTCTTAATGAAATCCTTCAGACAAGCTACCAAAAATATCATGCATCAACACTGATTCACATTTTTAATGAGCATTAACATAGGAGCATGTTCAATAAACTGTTGTTTTAAGAGTTTTTGTCCACTGTGTAGGACCCCTGCTGATCAATTATGAGGTTTTGTTTTATGGTGAAAAATAAAAAAATGTATATGTGTGTAGTCTGAATTGCATTAAAATATTGCGGTTAATAAAAAATAGCAATTATGTAACTTTTACTCCTAGAGTTAAAGAAATGAACTGTACCCTTTACAAAGAAATGAACTAATAAATTCTTTTAATCAGAAAAAGTGATTATACCCCAATTTTATATACCAATGTAGCTCAGAGATCTGTCCTGATTGTTAAAATCAACACCAAGTAGGAAAGAGCTTCAAAGAGATTTTTTTAAATGGGATTTAAACATAAGTTTATTTTGGTGCAAAAATTTACATCTGTGCATAGTTTTTTTTCATAATACGCATTTTTCATGAACTTTTGGAAAACCCTCATTTTATAGCTCCTGAATAGTTGCCATGTTAGATTTTGAATATCCATGATATGAGTATGGAATAAAACCATACTTACTAACCATGTCCCAAACACCTGGTCCTCCTTGGCTTGTGATTTTATTTTAAATGTTTGGGTTTGTAGGTATTTTCATAAATGGTTCCTATTCTGTTTGGTTGCATAACTGTGTGTATGTTTCAGAAAACTGTAAAGATCAACAAAATAAAGACTTTTTAACTTATCCATACAAACTTATCATTTGGCTACCACTAAGAAGATACAATTTCCTTTCTAGTTATTCCTTGTCGTTATGTTTCTCCTTCATGGAGAGAATTTCAAACAAGAAGACCCATGCTCCAAGAAGTATACAATGCAAGTAGTCAAGTTGAGCTGTGCAGTCTTGCCCTCAGAAAGCACTAACGTCCTGTCTACATCACGTTTTGTAATCCATGTAATTTGAATTGTGCCAAACTCATGCATTTATACATGTCATACCACAATGTATGTTTACATGGCATCTTAATTCTCTTACTTCCAAAACTGTTTATTAATTTTGCTCAAAAACTTTAAAACTTTTATCTTCTGCTAAGCATTCTTGAAGCACTGCTTAATCATATGGTTTTGTTATATTTGTTTAAAATTTTTTAAACTAGTGGCTTTGGGGGTTTATTTACACGCATAATCTTATTTCTAAGCCACTAACCTTAAAGTTACTGAAATGCTAAAGCAGGTGTTTGTTGTTACAGTACCTAACATCATGGTTGGCCTAGGCCGCGTTGTAGCTGTAACTTAAATACCTCCTATTGAAGATTACATTTTAGAATTGAATTGAGTTGGTAATATATTCAATGCTTTTGTTTATTTTCTTTTTTTCCATAGACCTCTGGGGCCAGAGAGTCTCTTGCTTCGTGGAGCTAGATTAAAAAACACAAAAGAAATTTTTGGTTTGTACATAATTTTAATTATTGGTTTGTGTTGATCCTTTATATAAAGTATTTTTAAAAGCACAGCCATTTGTGATCTTTTGTTTGGATAATTTATTATTTAATTAGCTGGTATTTAAGATAAAATTTTGTTACAAAGATTGTATTAGTGTAGTTTTGTGTTGTATTATTTGTTGTTGGTCTTGTTTTTGAGTAGTAGATTAGAACCTTGCTCTTATATTGTCTTTGTGGATAGTTGTGAAACTGAGTGCTAAGAAGATAATTCTGGCACTTCTAGTAATGGTGGATGAGGAACATTATAATGTATCCTTGTGTAATAAACCATTTCTGTAAATTTACTATGATTATTCTTGTACTGAGTTAAAAACTGCTGACTCTTTCATTCCTACATTCATTTCTATATTAATTCTTTCAACAAATTCTTACCTTTGGCTGTATACCAGTTACCGTTGGAACATATATTGACTGGATCAAAAGGATGAAAAATAGTGCTCTTGCCTTGGAGAGCTAAATTAAATTAGTACATTCTGAATCAACCCTAGGAAAATTGTGAAGCTGATGATGATAACCTTCAGCTGTTAGCTCCAAGGGCCCTTAGTATCTGGGTCCACTGTTACAAATTTTGAGGTCCTTTTCTTCATTCTCTTTTTTCCTTCTACCTGTACTATATTTTATGTCTTAGTGTTAAGCTCTCTGATAAAGGAATCCATTCATCACTTTTAAAAACCCAGAAAATAATGAGTGTTGGCAAGTTCATGGAAAAATTAGAATCATCCTACATTTGCTGATGGGAATGGAAGATGTTGCAGCTGCTGTGAAAAACAGTTTGGCAGCTCTTCACTAAGCATAGAATTATCATGACTCAGCAGTCCCACCCTAGATATAGAACCCCAAAAAACTAACAGTGGGTGTTTTAAAAAACCCGTACAAGACTGTTCAGAACAGCACTGTTCACCATAGCCAAAGGTGGGAAACAATTCACATGTTCGTCAGCTAATGAATGGGTAAATAGGATATAGTATATCCGTGTGATGAAGTGGTATTTAGCCATAGGAAAGTACTACTGCGTGCCGTGGATGAACCTTGAAAATATTATGTTGAGTGAAAGAAAAGCCAGGTACAGAGAGCTGTGTATTGTATGACTCCATTTATTTGAAACATCCAGAATGGGCAAATTCGTGGAAACAGAAAGCCGAGAAATGGTTCCCAGGAGCTGGGAGTAGAGGAAGTGATTGCTTAGTGGCTACAGAGTTTTCTTTGGTGATAATGAAATTGTACTCCAGTTAGATAGTAAGGATGGTTACACAAAATTGTGATTGTGTTAAGTGCCACTGAATTATGTACTTAAAAATGGTTAAAATGATGAATTCTATGTTTTATATATTTTACAATTATTTTTTAAAATCCATAACGTTTTGATAGCAGAAGCCATCAGATAACACTCTTTGAACATACTTTTCTTGCAGTAATACCTTTATCCCATTTAGCTTAAAGCAGGGATCCAAATTTTGCACACTCTTGAAAAATTGCATGGCTTTAGCTGCATCTTAAACAAGAGCATATCAGAAAGTTCACCAAGATTTTGTATCATCTTTTACTTCCATTTTCCATGACCATTTTAAAGCCTCTTTCTATTGCTTGCCTCAGCACCAACACCTATACCTATTGCATTATTCTGGCTATTTTCCCACATTTATATAATTTCCATGACCTTGTCATTTGAGGAGTAGTCCTTACCTTTAAGGAATAATTCTAACAATAAAAATCCCAGGACAGATATTTAAGAAGGTGAACTTGGCCCTACCGTGCTTTTTAAATCATATTAAGGATGTGGTGAATGTTTATTGATATCTGGTTCTAGGCATTTTGCTGATTTTTCATTCAAACTTCCTAGCTACTCTTATGAGGTATTTTTTTCCCATTGAAAGATGAGAAAATTGAGACTCCTAGAGATGATTTACCCAAGAATCTAGAACTAGTAAGTGGCAGAAGTACCGTTCAAAGCATGGACTACAAAGTTTTTTAAAGGGCTAGTCTTTTTTTCTTTTTTTTTTTTTTTTAATTTGACAGGCAGAGTTAGACAGTGAGAGAGAAAGACAGAAAGGTCTTCCTTCCGTTGGTTCACCCCCCAAATGGCTACTGCAGCCCGCACGCTGTACTGATCCGAAGTCAGGAGCCAGGAGCTTCTTCCCGGTCTCCCATGCCGGTGCAGGGGCCCAAGCACCTGGGCCATCCTCTACTGCCTTCCCAGGCCACAGCAGAGAGCTGGACTGGAAGAGGAGCAACCAGGACTAGAACCCGGCGCCCATATGGGATGCCAGCGCCACAGGCGGAGGATTAACCAAGTGAGCCACGGCACCGGCCCCTAAATGGCTAGTCTTTAGTTTTAGTCCCATTATTACTGTCATTCTCACTCATCTCAGAGTCACAGAGGCACACATATTTTCTTTAAGATTTATTTATTTTGAAAGAAAGAGAGAGGGAAAGACAGAGATCTTCCATCCATTGGTTCACTCCCCAGATGGCTGCAACAGCCAGGGCTGGGCCAGACCCAAGCCAGGAGTCAGGAGTCATCCAGGTTTAGTACTTGGGTTCAGGGGCCAAACAATATCCTCCGCTGCTTTCCCAGGCCACCAGCAGGGAGCTGGATGGCAGTGGAGCAGCTGCAACTCAAATCACCACCCATATGGGAATGCTGGCATCACAGGCAGTGGCTTTACCTGCTATACCGCAGCGCCAACCTCAAGGCACACATATTTAAAGAGCACTTTCCTTGTGCTCTGACAGACTTCTGGGTGATCCCTCCACTGCTTATGGAATGATGTCTGGATTCTAGATCCAGGGCTTTTCACACTGCAGCCTCAATTCACTGTTACAAGCTAATGACGTGCTTTTCCATTCCTGTCTTGTTAATACTGTTGGCTTTCTCTCTAATATCCCTCCCTGTCATCTTTATTTTTCTAGACCCTTTTCCTCCACCAATTCTAACTCATGTAGTATCTTTTCCATTTAGATATCTGTTGTAAGTCTGCAACAGAACCCCCATACCCCTCTTATCCATCAGATTGAGTGACTGGGATGCCCCAAATTTAGACTTGAACAACCTTAAAAACTAAAGACTTAAAAGGAAGCTAAATGATTGCAACTTGCAGGTGATATGTTTTCCTGAAAGCTTTTGTACTGGTGAGTCCATTTATTTCTTGTGAAGTGTACTATAAGATTAGTTTAAAAGACTGTTTTGTTTTGCAGGCGTTGCTGTATACACTGGAATGGAAACTAAAATGGCATTAAATTACAAAAGCAAATCACAGAAACGCTCTGCAGTAGAAAAGTAAGAAAACTGTCTCTTTTAATTTATTTACATGTAATTATAGTTATATGTGTGTATCATTTCATGAATGTATGAAATATTAAATGTATAAAAATATATCTGTCAAATCAAGTAAACATGATATTCTTGGAGATGGGGACAAATCATTTTTTTAAAACATGTAGCATTTTGCCTGATGTCTAGCATATACTAAGTTCTAAAGCATGGCTTTAAAAATAAATACTGTTAGGTAAATGGTAGAATCACTTAGACTAACCTTTCTCTGGTAACAATTAAAAAAAAAGGGAAAAATATTTTTTTAAAGTAAACAACTATTTGAAAGAACTGGAGAGTGGCCCAAAGCAGGCAGAAACTGGCAAGGAGTATATTCCTGAAAGATTAAAGCAGGAGGGGGAAGGTTTAAGAATATAGCGTTTTGCTTGAGAGTATACACCAATTTGTGTGCTGCTTAGGACACTAAAAAGTGTGAGCTTTCCCGGAGTGAGGTGTCAGAGGTCAAGGTAGAAAAAGGTAAACATGTCAGGAAGCCACAGGAAAGAATGAATTCCAAAACCGGTGTGTAAATTCTGCCCAAATCCGTGGCTGACTGCTAAAGCTAAGCATATACAAGGGAGATCCTAGTGGACTTGGCCCAAACAAAATGGAAAACAGCAGCAGGAAGCTGAATGAACTTAGCAGAGTTGTGTTGCTGCCCATTAACAGTGAAGATAAAGTTAGGGATTTGAGCCCCATAAAGTTTGAGCTTCCTGGAATAAAAATCATTACTTTTCTGAGAAGCATAAAAGAACACAGATTCTATGCAACCTATTATTTATAAAGTCCATTGGAGCAGCTGTTGAAATACTGCTTGAGGCTCTCACATCTCATAGTGGCTGGGGCTTGAGTCTGCACCCTGCTTGCAATTCCAGCTTCCTTCTCTTGCATACCCTGAGAGGCAGTAGGTGATGGCTCAAGTAGTTTTGGGTCACTACCACCCATATGGTAAACCAGATTGAGTTCCATGTTCCTGGCTTCAGCCCGGCCCAGCTCCAGGTGTTAGCAGACATGTGGAAAGTAAATCAACAGGTGGAAAATCTCTCTTCTTTATCTCCTGTGTGTGTGTGTGTGTGTGTGTGTATTGCTGAGTCTTTCATATAAATAAAAATATATAACAAAGTTTTTAAAACATGCAAAATCTAATATGCAATTAAACATAAGCAAGAGATGGGCATTTGGCCTCAGAGATGCCCACGTCCCTTATCAGAGTGGCTGATTAGTTCAGTTCCCCACTTCACTCCCAGTTCTAGCTTGCCACCAGTGCAGATCCTAGAAGGTAGCAGGTGATGGCCCAAGTGAGTGGGTTTCTGCCACCCACATGGGAAGCTGGGATTGAATTCCTGCCTTCTGTCTTTGGTCTTTCCAGTCTTGCTCATTGTGGATATTTGGGGAGTAAACCAGCAGATAGGAATGTCCCCTCTATCTATCCTTCTCCCCCTTCCCCTGTATGGTCTCTCTCCATGCCTCCACAAGGAAGGGAAGGAAGGAAAGAAGGGAGGGAGGGGGAGAGGGAAGAAGGAAAGGAGGGAGGAGGGAGGGAGGAAGGTGAAGCCACCACCTGCAGCACCAGCATCCTGTATGGGCACAGGTTCAAGTCTCGGCTGGCCCATTTCCGATCCAGTTCCCTGCTGATGTGCCTGGGAAGAGCAATGCAGGACAGCACAAGTGCTTGGGACCTTCTCCCACCCCCCGCCCCATCGTGGGAAACCCAGAAGTAGCTCTTGGCTCCTGACTTTGGCCTGACCCAGCCCCGGCCCGGCCATTGAGCCTTTTGGAGAGTGAACCAGCAGATGGAAGACCTCTTTCTTTCTCTCCCTTTGTGTTTCTATAACTCTGCTTTCAAATAAATAAAAATAAATACAGAGAAAAAAAAGCAGACATGTGAAAAATGTAATTCATACTTAAAGATAAAAGGCACTTAGTAGCAACTATCTCCAGAATCATCTAAATCTTGAAATTAGGAGATGAGAACTTTAAAGCAGATACTATAAATATAGTATAGGGCCTAAAATAATATTTAAATGAACATATGGGAAAACTTGCAACAGAAGTGGAAAAAATTTTTGAATACCTAGAAGTTCATGATAATAGAGCATATTGACTGCAGTCAAAGCAGTGCTGCAGAATAAATTTATAGCATTCAGTACTTAGATTAGAACAGAAAAAGCAATCACAGACAGAAACCAAAATTTAAAACACAATACCATTTACATTTGCCCCAGCAAAAAAGAAAAACCTAAGTATACAGCTAACAAAATACAAATCTCTATGTTGTAAATTATAACACACTGAAAGAAATCAGATCTAAATAAATGGGACAATATACCGTGTTTATGGATTGAAAGACTCAATATAGTAAAGACACCAATTCTCTCAAAAGTAATTAATAGGTTTTATGTAGTTCCTAGCAAATTCCAGCTATATTTTTTTGTAGTGATAAATTAACTTATTCTGAATTTTTACATAGAAAGACAAAGGAATTAACATAGCCAGGAGTTGTTCTTGTTTTATTTGAAAGGCAGCATTACAGAAAGAGAGAGAGACAGAGTGATCTTCCATCTTCTGGTCCACCTCCAAATGGCCACAATTGCCAGGGCTGAGCCAGGCCAAGCCAGGAGCCTGGAACTCCATCTAGGTCTCCCATATCAGGGTAGGGGCTCAAAGACTAGTACCATCTTCCTCTGCTTTCTCAGTTGCATTAGCAAGGAGCTGTATTAGAAATGGAGCAGCTGAGACTTGAACTGATACCAGTATGGAATGCCAACATTGCAGATGGCAGCTTAACTTGCTGTATCACAATGCCAGCCCCAACTAAGAGTCTTGAAAATGAAAATGAAATGAGAGGAATTGCTATCTGGTGCTTTGTATTTGGGTGTTTTTTTTTGTTTGTTTTTGTTTTTTTTTAAGACTTGTTTGAAAGAGAGAGAGAGAGAGATTCTATCAGCTGGGTCACTCCCCAAATTGCCCCAATAGTCTGGGCTTGGCCAGACTAAAACCAGGAGCCAGGCACTCCATCCAGGTCTTTCACATGGGTACAGGGACTCAAGTACTTGAGCCATTATCAGCTGTTTTCCAGGCACATTAGCAGGTAGCTGGTTTGGAACTAGAGCAGCTAGGACATGAAACAGCACCCTGATATTGGATACCAGTATCCCAAGTGGCAGTTCAACCTCCTACACCATAATGCTTGCCCCTTGTCTAATGTTAAGGCTTAGAGTGTAGCTGTGGAAATCAAGACAGAGAAGTACTAGTGGAGAAATAGCTACAGATATCAGTGTAATAAAATAGAGAACCAAAAATAGACTACTACAAATATACTCTGTTGATTTTTGGCGATGCACAAAAGCAGTACAATGAGAAAAGATGATCTTTTCAACAAATGGTACCAGAACAATTGGTATCCATACTTACTACCTCCTGCTAATGTGCCTGGGAGGCAGCAGATGATGGCCCAAGTACTTGCATTCCTGCTGCCCACACTGAGGACCCATAAGAGTTCCTGGCTTTAGGCTTCAGCCTGGTCCAGCCTTGGTTGTTGTGGGCATTTGGGACAGTGAACTCGTGGTTAGATGATCTCTGTCTTCTCTGTCTCTCCCTCTCTCTGTTATTCTACCTTTTAAGTAAATAAAAATGAATCTTTAAAAAAAAGTCTAAAGAGAAAACCCTAAAACTATTTTTAAAAAGGCAAGCTACCAACAAGGGGAAATATTTGCAGACCACAAATCTCCCAAAGACCTTATATTTAGAAATAGTAGAATTAAGAATTCTCAAACTCAACAGTAACACAGTAATCCAAATAGAAACAAGCAAAAGCCATGAATACACTTGTATATTGGTTCTTTTTTTTTTTTGCTGATAAATAAATTCTGCTAGATGGTCATATGTTAAAAATAGTGACTATATTCTTTGAAACTACTACAGTAATATGTATTTTAATATCTTTGTTAATTTCTTATATTTTAATATCTATTTCTAAGCACATGATTATAGTAACACATAATTGATATGTTTTATATTCTCTTTTTCTTACTTCAGGTCAATGAATACATTTTTGATCATTTATCTTATAATCCTTATTTCTGAAGCCATCATCAGTACTATCTTGAAATATACATGGCAAGCTGAAGAAAAATGGGATGAGCCTTGGTATAACCAAAAAACAGAACATCAAAGAAATAGTAGTAAGGTATTTTGTGGTGGTCTTAACTCGGCTGTAAATGAAACTTTATTCTTTAGCACAATTAATGCTTTTTGGTAGTCTCTTCTGATAGGAAGGACCACTGTAGTTTCCTAAGAGTATTAGTACTAAAGGGTGACAAAATGGCATTGCAAATGAAGAGTGACCACCATGTTTGTAGTGGTGTGCTCTTTTGAAGTTTAGGGAGTTAGCAGCTGGGTTCCTTATGACATGACTTGAATAACCTTTTTTTTTTTTTTAGATTTATTTATTTATTTATTTGAGAAGCAGAGTTATAGACAGAGAAAGGGAAAAACAGAGAGAGAGGTCTTCCATCTGCTGGTTCACTCCCCAAATGACCACAGCAGCTGGTGCTGGGCCGATCCAAATCCAGGAGCCAAGAGCTTCTTCTGGGTCTCTCATATGGGTGCAGGGACCTAAGCGCTTGGGCTGTCTTCCACTGCTCTCCCAGGCCATAAGCAGGGAGCTGGATTGGAAGATGAGCATGAACCGGGGCCCGTATGGGATGCCAGTGCTGCAGGTGGAGGCTTAGCCCACCACGCCACAGCGCCAGCACCAGGACTTGCATAATTAAAAGGTCTTTCTATAATTCCATTCCACTTCAGTACTACAGATTCAGTTTTCTATTCTATTTATGATACTGTAAGTGAATTAGAGTATGTTATTTTCCATTCTGTGTGAATAATTTAAAAAGTCACTATTATCAATCCTCATGGTATGAAATAATATACAAATTAGGTCATACAAAATTTTAAACAGACTACCAAGAAAATTTATTCTAATTATGGTAAATAATTCTTCTCCAAATTTCACTTTCAGTTAAAATATGTATATTGGAAGACAGATTTGAATCTCAGGAGACCACAAAACAGATGATCACAGGCTCCTATTTTCAGTATCTTTCACAATTACCTACTCTGTCTTTCACAGAATACATGTTAGAGTGTGCTGCTGCTATACTGTTGAAGTAGGCCATTCTTGCATAATCCGTTCTAAGAGCTGTAATTTCTAACACTTTAGCCTAGCAATTGTTGTATACTTTTTCTAAAGTTATACTAGTTTTAGTTACCAGTGACTTTGAAGGGTAGGAGTAGAATAGATAAGTACACTACAGAGCTTATAATTAGAATGTGGTGAAAAGTAGTTTTAGTCATACCAGGTGACTTTAACATCTGAAAAATAGCAAATTAAATTATTTGAGTTTAACCATTTATTCCTTTACTTTGATCAAGATTCTAATGAATAGTAAGATATCCGGAGAAAATGTAGTTTCAAAAAGCCAATTCAATCAATGAATTTCAATTCGTAATATTGTTCTACCTCAGAATATAGTTGATGGTCTATTTAGACATGAAATTTTCTAATGATTTTCTTCAATGATGCTGAAGAAATTCTCAGGCATTTTCTCTTATCAGACAACCATTTCTTTTTTCCTAGATTCTGAGATTTATTTCAGACTTCCTTGCCTTTTTGGTACTCTACAATTTCATCATCCCAATTTCATTATATGTGACAGTCGAAATGCAGAAATTTCTTGGATCATTTTTTATTGGCTGGGATCTTGATCTTTATCATGAAGAATCAGATCAGAAAGCTCAAGTCAATACTTCTGATCTGAATGAAGAGCTTGGACAGGTGAAAATAATCCTAATTTTTTTTCTAATTTTTATTTTTATCAAAGCAATATGTGTATGAGGATTAATGTAACAGAAAATATTACAAAGTTAATAGAGAAAAAGCAACTCTGCTGTACCCCTAATTCTTATTTCCCATTTTTAAATCCTAAGTTGTTTCTTCCATTATTCACCACTATATTTCTATCTGGTACTCTTTTTGGACTTTTCAATTTGTAGATATCATCTGCTTTGAAATAGAAAGACAAACCCAAATACATACTCCCTTTTTGCCTCTTCATAGCAAAATTTGAGATTTATAAATATTTATTTATTGGCATTGTTAAAGTTATTCATGTATGACCTATAATTACATTTTTGTTCTTAACATGTTTTGTTTTCCCTAGAGTTAAGTGGTCTGTTTTTCATTTGTTTAATTTCCACGTGCCACAGATAAGTCTCTGACAGATTTGCAGCATCTCTACATGTTCAAACACATCAGGAAATGTAGGCTTTCCTCCGTCTCCCCTGCTCTTCTTTCCCTCCCTCCCTCCTTCTCTCTTTCCCTTTCAGCAGTTCTTTTGTAGACTTTAATCTTTCTGCCCCATTTGAACTTTTCTCTGGGCCAGCTTCTCAGCTGTCACTCAGGACTTCCCGCTACTACCACCCTGGAAATTCCTCTGCCTGTCTCCTGTTTGCTGCGTGCTGTGACTTCCTGCCTGTGGCTTATTCTCTTATTTTGATGCAGCACATCTTCTAACAGTCGATCTGATAAGGGATGTGTGAGACTTGGCTTGCCTGAAAATAACCTTATTCTCTTTTCACGTTTGATTTGTAAGTGACCTGGGTATTGCATTCCAGATAGAAAATCATTTCTTCTCAAAATTTTGAAGATATTTCTCCATTGTCTTCTAGCTTTCAGTGTTGCTTTTCAGAAATACAGTACCATTCTGATTACCAGTTGTTTTTAATTAGAAAAAAATGTTAAGTGTGTATTTGAGAGGCAAAGAGAGAGAGAAAAGGAGAGCGCTGTGTTATCCACTGGTTCACTCCCCAAATGCCTGCAAGAGCTAGGGTTAGGCCAGCCCAGAGCCAGGAGCCCAGAACTCCATGCAGTCTCCCATGTGAGCAGCAGGGACCCAGGTCCTCAAGCTACCATCTGATGCCTCGAAGGACACATTCACAGAGTCAGCACCTGCACCAGCTCTGCAGTGTGGGAAGTGATTGTCCCAAGCAGTGGCTTCACCTGCTGCACCATAGTGCCTGTCCCAGGAGTTCGGGATCTAAACTCCTCTCGGTTCCTCCTATTGTCAGCCCCATTCTGTACTCTCACATTCAGGGGTGCCTGGTGTATCTACTTCTTGAGAGTTTCAGAGGCTACATTTCTACATTGTTTAGCTCTCAGATTCTAAGCTCTGCTAGATCAGTTACTATTTTTTTTAAAAGATTTATTTATTGGGGCCAGTGCTGTGGCGCAGCAGGTTAAAGCCCTGACCTGAAGCGCCGGCATCCCATATGGTTGCCTGTTCTAGTCCCAGCTGCTCCTCTTTCGATCCAGCTCTTTGCTGTAGCCTGGGAGAGCAGTAGAGGGTGGCTCAAGTCCTTGGGCCCCTGCACCCATATGGGAACCCCGGAGGAAGCTCCCAGCTCCTGGCTTCAGATCAGCGCAGCTCCAGCCATTGCAGACATTTGGGGAGTGAACCAGCAGATGGAAGACCTCTCTGTCTCTACCTCTCTCTGTAACTCTGCCTTTCAAATATTTGAAGGCAGAGTTACAGAGAGGCAGAAGCAGAGGCAGAGAGAGAGAGAGAGAGAGGTCTTCCTTCTGCTGGTTTACTTCCCAGATGGCTCCAACAACTGGAACTGCATTGACCCGAAGCCAGGAGCAAGGGGCCTCTTCTGGGTCTCCGACACGGGTACAGGAGCCCAAGGATTTGGGCCATCTTCTACTGCTTTCTCAGGCCACAGCAGAGAGCTAGATTGGAAGTGGAGCAGCCTGGACCCAAACCAGTGCCTTTATGGGATGCCAGCGCTGCAGGTTGCTGCCTTACCTGCTATGCCATAGCGCCAGCCCTGATCAGTTACTTTTCATTCACCTTCTTCTCATCTTCAAAATTCTTCTCAAATCTTCCCTATCATGTTGGATCTTTTACCTTTATTTTTGTTCCTTTTTATTTCTGTACTCTCATTGTGGTGAAGCTTCAAGAGGAAACAGATAAAATTGCATGTGCTTGACCTGCCAATTTTAACCAGAAGCTACTCCATTTATTTTTAGTAGCATTTAGGAGATTTTAAATACTTTATGCTAAATATTAATTCATCACAGTTCTTCAAGACCTAAAAACATAACCCATTTTTACTGCTTCTCTGAACAAATGTTTTTTCCAGTCTTTTCTATCCCACTTCTCTCCCATCATTCCTTCATAGTTGAATTGTCTTTTCTCACTCTGTGTGCATACCCATGTCTACCTTGAAAGATACTTTGAGTGATTACATTTTAATACCAATTATCTCAGCCTCTGTTTTTACTTCTATGATTGCAAGTATTTCATATATGTTTATGACCTCTTACTCTGTTTTTATACTAATGAACTTTTCTTTATTTTACACTCTGCTGTGTTCTTTCGATTTTTTGTTATCTAAGAAACTACGCTTATGAAGGTACAAAATGAGGCTAGTGCTGTGGCATAGTAAGTTAAGTCTACCTGCAGCACTGTCATCCTATATCCGCTCCAGTTCATGTCCCGGCTGCTCCTCTTCTGGTCCAGCTCCCTGCTAAGGCCTGGGGAAGCAGTAGAAGATGGCTCAAGAGTTTGGGCCCCTGAACCCATTTGGAAGACCTGGAAGAAGTTCCTAGCTCCTGGCTTTGGATCTGCCCAGCTCTGTCCCACTACAGCCATTTGGAGAGTGAACCAGCAGGTGCGAGACCTCTCTGTCTCTCCCTATCTCAAGTAAATTAATAAATATTAAAAAAAAAAAAAGTGTGGGGGGGTTATAAAATGACCTCTTTATCACTGAAATTAAAAGGTTCAACTTAAAATCAAAGTTAATATATTTTATTCATTCCTACTCTCAAATCTCTTCTTTTTTTTGTTAGATTTATTTATTTATTTACTATTTGAAAGGAAATTAGAAAATGAGAGAGAGAGAGGTCTTCCATCTACTGGTTCACTCCCCAGATGGCTGCAACCTCTAGGACTGGTCTAGGCCAAGACAGAAACCTGCGCTCCATGTTGAGTCTCCCACATGGATGTCAAAGGCCCAACTCCTTGGGCCATCCTCAGCTGCCTTCCCAGGAGCATCAGCAGGGAGCTGGACCAGAAGCAGGGCAGCCAAGACTCAAACTGGCACTGTAATGACAGAATGTGGTTTCACAGGTGATGCTTAACCCTCTGCACCACAATGCTGGCCCCTAATCTTTTTCTGAAAGATTACTCCATGACTAAGAGGTGTGTCTCTATTCTTATTGTCCCTGGAATGTTACCTTCTGTTTCACTGCTGATGTATTTTATGTCATAATAGTTTCTTTATCCCTCATTTCTCATCTTCCTGATCTAAAATATTTTTAATTGACTTGTATAGGTAAGTGGTATATTTTTCTATCCACCTTAAAATTCCACTTGCACATTTGTTACTTATATTGGGCAATCTATAGTATCAAATAGCAAAGTTAAAATGTTTTATCTTTTATTTCTAGGGTCACCATTTACTAGCTGTGACTTTTTTTTTTTTTTTTTTTTTGGACAGGCAGAGTTAGACACTGAGAGAGAGAGAGAGACAGAGAGAAAGGTCTTCCTTCCGTTGGTTCACCCCCCAAATGGCTGCTATGGCCTGTGCACTGCGCCGATCTGAAGCCAGGAGACAGGTGCTTCCTCCTGGTCTCCCGTGTGGGTGCAGGGCCCAAGCGCCTGGGCCATCCTCCACTGTACTCCCGGGCCACAGCAAAGAGCTGGACTGGAAGAGGAGCAATAGGGACAGAATCCGGTGCCCCAACCGGGACTAGAACCCCGGGTGCTGGCACCACAGGTGGAGGATTAGCCAAGTGAGCCGCGGCGCCAGCCATGCTGTGACTTCTTATAACTTAATTTATTCTTCTTTAGCTTCCTCTGTTCTAAAATAAATCATATCTACTTCATGGAGTTGTTGAGAAGGTTAAATGAGTTCAAACACTTAGCAATGGGAAGAATATAGTGAGAGCTTTTGCTATTAATTTATATAGCAGAATTTCTACATCTCGGATGTATTTTTACTAGAAAATATAAAACTTGAAATACAGCTTCTTAATTAGTTTTATTTCTAGATCAAAACAATATTTTTCCAGCTTTACCTCTTTTTAAATAAAAACTTTTTTTAAAAGATTATTTGGGGCCGGCGCCGTGGCTCAATAGGCTAATCCTCCACCTTGCGGCGCCGGCACACCGGGTTCTAGTCCCGGTTGGGGCGCCGGATTCTGTCCCGGTTGCCTCTCTTCCAGGCCAGCTCTCTGCTATGGCCAGGGAGTGCAGTGGAGGATGGCCCAGGTGCTTGGGCCCTGCACCCCATGGGAGACCAGGAAAAGCACCTGGCTCCTGGCTCCTGCCATCGGATCAGCGCGGTGCGCCGGCTGCAGCGGCAGCCATTGGAGGGTGAACCAACGGCAAAAGGAAGACCTTTCTCTCTCTGTCGCTCTCTCTCACTGTCCACTCTGCCTGTCAAAAATAAAAAAATAAAAATTAAAAATAAAAAAAAATAAAATAAAAATAAAAAAAAGATTATTTGAAGATCAGAGTTACAGAGAGAGAGAGAGAGAGAGATTCCATCTGGTGATTCTCTCCCCAGATGGCCAGTGCTGGGCCGGGATGCTCACTTAGGTCTCTCACATGGGTGGCCAGCACTTGGGCCATCTTCCTCTACTTTTCCCAGGCAATTAAGTGGAGCCACAGGGACACCAACTGGGACACATATGGAATGCTGATGTCGTAGGTGGCGGCTTCACCCACTATGCCACAGTGCTGGCCTCTGACTTTACCTCTTGCCTTTCTTTTTGTATATTGATCTTTTATCCTGGAATCTTGCTAAATTTATTTTATTAGTGTTAATAATTTTGAGTGGATTCGGGGGAATTTTTCAATCTATAAAATCATGCAAATGGAGATAGTTTAACATTTCTTTTAAAATTAGGATGACTTTCATTTTTTTTTCCTTGTCTAATTGCCCTGACTGGAACCCTTGATATAGTATTGAATAAAAATAGTGAGCAATAGACATCTATTCCTGATTTTCAAAGGGTAATTTTCAGACTCTCCCCATTATCGCTTCTCAGCCTTTTTGCTAAGATCAAGTGCAGACTCTCCTCATTAAATATTATGTTAGCTGTAGGTGTTCGGTGTTTTATAGGAATCTTCTGTCAGATTGAGGAAGTTCCCTTCTATACCTAATTTGTTGAGTATTTTTATCATAAAGTATGCTGGATTTTGTCAGATGCTTTTTCTGCAACTTTTTTTTAAAGATTTATTTATTTATTTGAAAGAGTTACACAGAGAGAGAGGCAGAGAGAGAGAGGTCTTCCATTTGCTGGTTTACTTCCCAGATGGCTGCAACGGCCAGAGCTGCCAAGATCCAAAGCCAGGAGCCATGTCTCCCCTGGATCTCCCACATGGATGCAGGGGCCCAAGGACTTGAGCCACTGTCCACTGCTTTCCCAGGCCATAGCAGAAAGCTAGATCGAAAGTGGAGTAGCCAGGTCTCGAACCGGAGCCCATATGGGATGCCAGCGCCTCAGGCAGGGTGTTAAACTATTGTGCCACAGCGCCGGCCCCTTTCTACAACTTTTGAGATGGTTGTTTTGTTAATAGGGTAATGAAAGTGCTATTGTATTAATATGGAGGATTACATTGATTTTTATGTTGAATCAGTCTTGCATTCCTGGAATAAATCTCACATATCCATGGTAGATAATCCTTTTTATATGTTCCTGGATTTGACTTGCATCTACATTTGTAAGGAGTTTATTGTTTATTGTTTTTTCCTTGTGATGTCTATACCCTTTTTAAATAACTCTTTCTGAAGTCATCATCATCACAGTAGTCAAATCCTCACTGTAATCCTGGTTGTATCAAGACTTGATTGTTGCATCCTTTTCTTCATGGATTCCTCTTCTTTTAGGATTTTCTAGAATTAATTTCCAAATGGTTAAAATAATTTGTCCTATCTGCTTTTGGAATGTGCTCTTTTCTTTAAAGCCTTTATTTTTTCACTGAATTTGTTTGTTGCCCTTAGTTTCAAGTTCTTGTCTGTCTTAGGCAACTTCTCACCTCGAAATTCTGTGTTGCTATCATTGGCATGCATTATTTCCAGTTCTGTCCTGGCCCAGGAACCTTTTTACATTCTAGGTTATTCAGCATCTCTTTCACCCTTACTTCAAAGATAATGCCTGAGTCCTACTACTTAAAAAGCACCTTAGCCATGAAGTAGAAATAAAGTTCTGACATGACATTCTCAGTCAGCTCTAGAGGTGAACATATATCTAAATATACTAAAAACTTCAGAGTGTAAGTAAACTTAAAATATTTTATGTTGCCTGTTTTGTTTCTTTAGCATCTTTATTATTTAGTTGTGCTTCGATTATAAGAATTATGAGATGTTACTAGGTGAACTTGACTTCAGGAGAAAAAGGACAAGGCTTTGGTTGTTTAATTTAAGGCTATGAACACAGAAGTTCTATTTTTTTTTGTTTTGTTTTTGGTCTCTCTAGGTGGAATATGTGTTTACAGATAAAACGGGTACGCTGACAGAAAATGAGATGCAGTTTCGAGAATGTTCAATTCATGGCATGAAATACCAAGAAATCAATGGTAGACTTGTACCCGAAGGACCGACACCAGATTCTTCAGAAGGAAATTTGTCTTATCTGAGTAGTTTATCCCATGTTAACAGTTTATCCCATCTTACAAGCAGTTCCTCTTTCAGAACCAGTCCTGAAAATGATACTGAACTAGTAAGCAGTTTTTTAATTAATAAATAAGAGCTTCATGTGAAATAATTTTTTTCTTCAATAGTTAATGATTGGTAAGAAAAAATATTTGTGTTAGCAGAGCAAGGAATTATTTATTTGAAATGTGTATCTTTTGAGTCAGTGCTATAAAATATAATCCTAGATATGTGGTTAGAGCACAGTTTAGCTTTTTTCTTAATATGTGTCTGCCTTAGCTCTCTGGGTATTTAAATAGAACTGAGCTAAGAAAAGCAGTACTGCCTTCAGGTGAAAAAGACTTACTGAGAAATGGAGCTTACAGTTATTTAATATGCTTTTTGAGACCTCACTTTTTTGGCAACAGTGTTCCCTTTTATTTACAGTTTTGTTTATGCTTCCTAAAAAGATACATGTGTATTGAAAAGTCCTAAGTCAGTGACTTTGAAGTCAAGCAACCAGCTGTTTATTTGGGCAATCAGGTTCATAGTGTTCTTGTTCTAGCTCTTAGAATTCTGTCTCATTTGTCTATTATGTCTGTTATGTTTCTATAGATTAAAGAACACGATCTCTTCTTTAAAGCAGTCAGTCTCTGTCACACTGTACAGATTAGCAGTGTTCAAACTGATGGCATTGGTGATGGTCCCTGGCAGTCCAGCCTGGCACCGTCGCAGTTGGAGTACTATGCGTCTTCACCAGACGAAAAGGCCCTGGTGGAAGCTGCCGCACGGTAACTAGTCTTCTCCCCAAATATTAAGAAAAATACCTTTTAATTAAACATTAGAATGTTGGAGAATTCTCACATGAACTTTTCAAACATAAATACATACTTGTAAGCTGTCAAATTCATAATAAATTAAGATAGAAATGAATTTTAACTGAATTTTAAATGAGAACTTGAAGTATGTCATCAATTTTGTCATTTTATTAAGTGATTTTTTTAAGATTGTTATTTATTTCTCTGAGAGATAGAGTTACAGAGAGGGAAAGACAGAGAGGTCTTCCATCTGCTGGTTCATCCCCAAATGGCCACAATGGCCAGAGCTGGGCCCATCCAAAGCCAGGAGCCAGTAGCTTCTTCCTGGTCCCCCGTGCGGGTGCAGGGGCCCAAGCACTTGGACCATCTTCTTCTGCTTTCCCAGGCCATAGCAGAGAGCTGGATCAGAAGTGGAGCTGCCAGGACACAAACTGGCACCCATGTAGGATGCCGGCACTGCTGGTGGAGGCTTAGCCTACTACACACAGTGCTGGTCCTAAATGATTTTTTAAAGAGCTCTTAAAAATCTGGTACTGTCCACTCTATGTAATAAAACCTGAGAAATACTGGCATGTGAATCATTATGGGTCCATTGTGATCCTCTGAGTTCTTCAAGGGAATGATATAGTTTGCATAAGAAGGGGTTTTGGAATACATTTTGAACTTTTTACATATTTCTGTTCTAGCTATGTTATAATTGTGTATTGAATGAGTATGGATATAAACCCTTAAATTTTACATTTCTTCTTTCAATCACCAGAATTGGCATTGTTTTTGTGGGCAATACTGAAGAAACTATGGAAGTTAAAATACTTGGAAAACTGGAAAGGTAAATTTTTTTCGTATTATTCTCTATATTAAATATATAGTACGAACAGAGATCAGGAAATTATGGCCTATTGGCAAAATCTGACCTATGATCTGCTTTTGTACAACTCAAAGATGATGCTCCATGTTTAAAGGATGTTTAAAAAAAAAAAAAAAAAAAAACAGGATATTTGACAGAGAACATAGGTTGCCTGCACAGCCTAAGATATTTACTATCTGGCCTTTTACAGAAAAAGTTTATTGACCTCTGGCACTAGAATGATGTCAGTATTGCTGTGAATCTCATCACATTTATAACAATATTCTGCTATGACTTTTTCATCTGTATTTCAGCTTATTGATTTCAGAATTTACCCAGATGTTTTTTTGTTTTTTTTTTGTTGTTTTTTTTGTTGTTTTATTTTTTTGACAGGCAGAGTGGACAGTGAGAGAGAGAAACAGAGAGAAAGGTCTTCCTTTGCCGTTGGTTCACCCTCCAATGGCCGCCACAGCCAGCGTGCTGTGGCCGGCGCATCACGCTGATCCAATGGCAGGAGCCAGGTACTTATCCTGGTCTCCCATGGGGTGCAGGGCCCAAGCACCTGGGCCATCCTCCACTGCACTCCCTGGCCACAGCAGAGAGCTGGCCTGGAAGAGGGGCAACCGGGACAGAATCCAGCGCCCCGACCGGGACTAGAACCCGGTGTGCCGGCGCCGCAAGGCAGAGGATTAGCCTAGTGAGCCATGGCGCTGGCACCCAGATGTTTATTTTTAGACATTCTTAGAGTTGAGTTTCATGGATTTCTGCTAAATAAAGAAAAATTTCCTCATATTTCCTAATTTAATCTTTGCACTCGTTGAGAAATTAGTCCATGCTTACTGTACTTATACCTTTCATTGTTTTATCAATTCTGATATCTCAACTCCAGTTGTGTTTTTCTTTCTTCTTTCTTTCTTTTTTAAGATTTATTTATTTGAAAGAGTTACAGTATAGAGAGAGGTAGAAACAGAGAGAGAAAAGTCTTCCATCCTTTGGTTCACTCCCCAAATGTCTTCAATAGCCAGAGCTGAGCCAATCTGAAGCCAGGAGCCAGGAGCTTCTTCCAGGTCTCCCACATGGGTGCAGCAGCCCAAGGATTTGTGCCATCCTGTGCTGCTTTCCCAGGTGTGTTATCAGAGAGCTGGATCAGAAGTAGAGCAGCCAGGACTCAAACTGATGCCCATGTGGGATGCCGGCACTGCAGGCTGGGACTTTAACCCGCTGTGCCACAGCGCCAGCCCCATCCAGCTGTGCTTTTCCACAATGCCTTTTCATACTAATTAGGCCTATTCTTCAGCTTTTATCATGTGGCAGCCTGTCTAGCTCATTCCATCAACATATTATTCAGTTCAGTAATTTTCTTTGAGATGTGTAAAGCATTCTATATGTACATAATTATTTATATATGATTCATCTGCAATATTTTCCAAGCTACATGTACCTATCCACACAAATTATTTTACGACTCACTAGAGGGACATTTGTTCCCCACTGTACATACATAACCAGGTGTCTTTTTTTATAAAGATTTATTTATTTATTGAGAGGCAGGGTCACAGACACAGAGAGGGAGATACAGAGAACGAAGTCCTCCACCTGCTGGTTCACTCCTCATATGGCCGCAATGGCCAGAGCTGGGCCAATCCGAAGCGAGGGCCAGAGACTTCTTCCTGGTCTCCTACGTGGGTACAAGGGCCCAAGGACTTGGGCCAACTTCCACTGCTTTCCAAGGCACATTAACAGGGAGCTGGGTCACAAATGGAGCAGCCAGGACTCGAACCGGCACCCATATGGGATGGTGGCAGCGCAGGCAGAGGCTTAGTCTACTGTGCCACAGCACTGGCCCCAAGATTTATTTATTTGAAATTCAGAGTTAGAGAAGAGAAGAGACAGAGAGTGAGAGAGGGATTTTCCATCTGCTGGTTCACTCCACAAATAGCTTCAATGGCTGGGGCTGGGTCAGGCCACAACCAGGAGCCAGGAGCTTCATCTGGGTCTCCCACATGGGTGCAGGGGCCCAAGTTCTTGGGCCATCCTCTGCTGCCTTCCCAGGTGTATTAGCAGGGAGCTGGATTGGAAGTGGAACAGCCAGGCTTCAAACCGGTGCCCATATGGGCGGCAGCTTTATCTGCTACATAACATGGCCCTCCAGTCACCTTTCTTAAAAGTGAGAAAAACAGGGACCTGTGCAGGTCTGGATTCCAGTCCCTGATCTACCACTCTCAAGCTTACTTGATGTTAAGCAAATTTTAACCTTTCTGAGTTTAGTAATCTTCCTCTGTAAAGAAGAGGTAAGACCTTCTTCTCATAGGTATTAAATGACAGAAGGTACATAATGTATATGGCCTGTGGTAAGTACTCAATTGATGTTAATTCCTTCTATTTCTATGTAGTGTTATTAATAAATTAACATGAAATATGCTTGAGATAAATTTCTTGTTCTAGATTAGCCATTTGTATCTTTAATATGGGCCCTTTCCAAATTTGCACTTAGAATAATTGAAAAAAGTAAATTTTTTATGTTTATTATTTTTTCCATTAGGTACAAACTGCTTCATGTTCTAGAATTTGATTCAGATCGTAGGAGAATGAGTGTAATTGTTCAAGCACCATCAGGTAACCAATATGAACTTTCACAGAGTTTTATTTATCTAGTAATAAAAGCTTGATAACTTGTTTTCTTTTCTTTTTAGGTGAGAGATTTCTGTTTGCTAAAGGAGCCGAGTCATCTATTCTCCCCAAGTGTATAGGTGGAGAAATAGAAAAAACAAGAATTCATGTAGATGAATTTGCTTTGGTGAGTATAAATTCTGTATTTTAAAAAACTCCAAAAAGAATATATTCATGAAAAGTCTGAGTTTTTAAATTAATAATTTATTAAAAATTATGGAAATTCTGCCATTCTGTTATACTGTAACAGTGACTTAACCTGCTAAAATGTATCTTCTCTTCAAATCTATTAGAATAAGGGTACTTTTGGTTTTAAGAACAACTTCGAAGAACACTATTAAAAAAGGGAGTTACTGGGGCCAGCATTGTGGCATAGCAGATAAAGCCATCATCTGCAGCACCAGCATCCTGTATCGGTGTTGGTTTGAGACCCATCTGTTCAACTTTAAATCCAGCACCCTGCTACTGTGCCTAGGAAAGTAGCAGAAGATGGCCCTACTGTTTGGGTCCCTGCACCTACATAGGAGACCTGGAAGACACTTCAGGTTCCTGACTAGAGTCTGGCACAGCCCTGGTCAATGTGGCCATTTGGGGAGTGAACCAGTGGATGGAAGCTCACTCGCTTGCTCTCTCTCTCTCTGTCTCCCTTTGTTTCTGTAACTCTGACTTTCAAATAAATCAATCTTTAAAGGGAAAAAAAAAAGTGTGTGGAGAGAGACTATTAAAAGAATATATGCGGCCAGCACCGCGGCTCACTAGGCTAATCCTCCACCTGCGGCGCTGGCACACCGGGTTCTAGTCCCGGTCGGGGCGCCGGATTCTGTCCCGGTTGCCCCTCTTCCAGGCCAGCTCTCTGCTATGGCCAGGGAGGGCAGTGGGGGATGGCCCAAATGCTTGGGCCCTGCACCCCATGGGAGACCAGGATAAGTACCTGGCTCCTGCCTTCGGATCAGCGTGATGCACCGGCTGCAGCGCGCCAGCTGCGGCGGCCATTGGAGGGTGAACCAACAGCAAAGGAAGACCTTTCTCTCTGTCTCTCCTTCTCACTGTCCTCTCTGCCTGTCAAAAAAAAAAAGAAAGAAAAAAAAAAGAATATATGCGAATACTGAGGATGTAGAGAAACTAGAATCCTCATACATTGATGATGGGATTATAAATGGTAGAGCTACTTTGGAAAATAATTAGACAATTGCTCAGAAGATAAACATAGACTTATTATATGACCCAGCAATTCGACTTCTAAGTATACACACAAGAGAATTAAAAACTTGTACATTAATTTTACAAGCTGTATATTGCTATAGCCTAAATATGGGAAAATGCAAATATCTACTTATGAATGGATAAGATTTAGTATATCTATATAATGGAACATTTTGGGGTGTTTAAAGGAGTAGAATACTGATATATTTCACAACATGGATGAACCTCAAAAAGATTATCCTGAATGAAAGAAGCAAGTCACAAAAGGTCACCTATTCCATTGCTTAAAAATATCTAGAATTTGGGCTGGCACCATGGCGCAGTAGCTTAATCTTCTGCCTGCAGCACCAGCATCCCATATGGACGCATGTTCTAGTCCCGGCACTCCTCTCCCTCTGTCTGTCACTCTGTCTCTCAATTAAATAAATAAAATCTTTAAAAAAATATTTAGAATAGGCAAATTCATAGAATGAGAAAGTGCATTAGTGGTTGCAAGCAGCTGGATGGGACTTTCCTTTTGAGGTTGCTGAAATGTTCTGGACTTAGTGATAATAATTGCACAACTCTGAATATACTGAAAACCCTTGGGTATGTATGCACTCTTTCAAGGGGAATATTTTATAGAATGTGAATTATGTCTCAATTATATTTAAATAAGAGGGCTTATTTTAAAAATGAAAGATATAGATGAATCTTACAAAAACAAAGAGCTGTAATTCATGTGAGCAGGAAAATCACTGAGCAACTCTCCTTTAGTCTTGGACCTCAGGATGCCTTATTTTCTGTTAATGTGTGCCCCATATTCATCTCTGTTCACCTTCTTCTTTTACTAGTTTATAGTTTATTTTTCGCCATTTTTTTGTTTCCTGATTGTTTATGCTCTAATTTATCTACCACACTGTCCCATCCAAGAGAACACAGACATTGTTCTATGTTACCATCATTTTAATATGTAAAACAGTGCTGGCGCATATTGATATTCCAGAAGTACTTGTTGTGAATCAACTTAGTATAGGGTTAATCTTTTGGGTATAAAGTTAATTGAAAATAGATCTGTTTTGATGCATAATGCATTTTTATTCCTAGAGAGCTGGACTGTTTGTATATATAGATGTTTCCTATGTTCCTTCTATCATTGCTTCTGTTTTTTTCGCTAAAGAAACCTTTTATTTAAGGAATACAAACTTCACGCATTTCATAAGTACAACTTTAGGAATATAGTGATTCTTCCCACCATACCTGCCATCCCACCCACACTCCCATCCTACCCCCTCCTCTCTTTCCTATTTCCAGTTCCACTCTTCACTAAGATCCATTTCCAATTAACTTTATACACAGAAGACCAACTCTATACTAAGTAAAGAGTTCAACAGTTTTCATGGGGGGAAAAAAAACAAAACTGTTCCTCAATAGTCCAAACAAGAGCTGTTCAAAGTCATTGCATCTTGAAATTAATTTCACTTCTTTTTTTTTAGAAACTTAATTAACTTCAAAGAAGCACCCAAGAATGATACATCTTTTGTGAACACTTAGACATAATTATAATACAACTCTTTTGAGAACAGAGCTCCTTCATGGGAAGTTAGTGCACAGTGACTCCTGTTGTTAATTTAACAGTTAACACTCTTATGTATGCCATCAGTGATCCCCCAAGGCTCTTGACATTGACATGAACTGCCTAGGCTATGGAAGCCTTTTGAATCCACAGACTCTGTCAGTATTTAGACAAGGCCATAAGCAAAGTGGAAGTTCTCTCCTCCCTTCAGAGAAAAGTACCTCCTTCTTTGACGACCCCTTCTTTCCACTGAGGTCTCACCCACCGAGGTCCTTCATGTAAGACATTTTTTGCCACAGTGTCTTGGCTTTCCGTGCCTGAAATGTTCTCGTGGGCTTTTCAGCCAGACCAGAATGCTTTAAGGGCTGATTCTGAGGTCAGAGTGCTGCTTAAAGCGATTGTCATTCTTTGAGTCTGTTGTGTAGACTGTTTTCCATGTTGGAGCATTCATTCCTTTTAAATTCTATATGTTATTATTACCAGACACTTAATCCTATCCATATGATCACTTTAACATGTAAGATGATATTTTTACCACCCAGCTTAAGGGGATTTTGGGTCTTACGGTTTAAAAACTGTACCCTTAGAAGTGAGTCTATAGGAATGTATGCAGAACTATACAGCTTTACAGTTACAAACTTCATATACTTCATAATTTCAGCCTTAGGAACATGGTGATTCCTCCCACAGTGCCTACCCTCTTCTTACCCCTCGTACTCCCACCCCTTTTCCTCCTCCCTCTCTTATTCCCACTCTTATTTTTCACTGAGATCTATTTTCAATTGACTTTATACACATATGTTTAACTATGTTAAGAATTCAACAAATAGTATGAAAAAACCTCTTATTTTTCCATTAGTTATTTGTATTCAACATTTATCTTTAATGTTTTTGGTTTGTTGTAGAAAGGGCTAAGAACTCTGTGTGTAGCATATAGACAGTTTACATCAAAAGAATATGAAGTGATAGATAGACGCCTGTTTGAAGCCAGGACTGCCCTGCAGCAGCGGGAAGAGAAATTGGCAGATGTCTTCCATTATATAGAGAAAGACCTGATATTACTTGGAGCTACAGCAGTGGAAGACAGGCAAGTATCATTTTTTCTGCAAAAATTTTTCTAGCCAAATGTTTCTAATGTGTGAAATGCATTCACTGATTAACATCCTGTAATAACTTAATATATTTAAAATCAAAATAGAGACTTAAAGCCTTGATTTTTTTCCCAGTCACTACAGTTTCATTCCAGCCACATATCTGAAAGAGAGGAAAGAAACCAGCTCTCCATGGTTTTCCCTGTAGACTTGAGTTTTTGGACTACTCCTGTATATACTATACAAAGATTTGAAGCACTTGTGTCATTCTCCAGCCTCCCTCTCACCGCTGCCCGCTCCTGCTTTTCATTTGAATGATGCCATGCTGTCAGTTGTTCTCCACTGCACACCAACTGTAGTTAAAACATTTGCTTTGTACCTTTGTTCCAAGGCAAGGCTGTGCCTTCTGCCTGGATGAGTCCTCCCTTTCCATCTACGAATACCTGTTCATAACCTAGAGCTCAAATGTTAGCCCCACTACGGCAAGATCTTTCCTGACACCTAACAGTTTAAAAATCTCTTTGTGAAGTCTCCATGTTTCATAGTTATTTCTGCTGTTACAGCACTGAATTACGACTGTTTGTTTAGAGATTTTTTTTCTCTGTTAGCCCGTGAATTCATGGAAGCATGTTCGTTCTTTGTCTGTGTTCCCCAGCATCTATCTCAATGACTGTTTCACAGTTTCTTGTATTAAGCTGAATCCTACAAATCAGGACTGTTTTGTTTTCCTGTACTCCCTAGATCTAAGGGTGTTTTTAGATTTTTAAATCTACATTTTAATTTTCATTAACTTTTTAGTTCTCATGAGATTTCTGAGACTTACCTGAAATTGTATAGTCCTTTGTTTTCCAGTGTGATTTTTGAACTATGAGTGATTAGAGAAATTTTCTTAGAAAAAGAGAGAGATTTGAAACTTAGATTTCCTAATAATAAACTAGGATTCTGTGAAGACCACATAAATTGATCTTGTCAAAATCACCTTTGAAGATACACTCTTAAAATACAAATTTGTAGATTTAATTTTGTATTAGCCAGATCGTTACTAATCTGATTATTCCTGATTCTTCTGTAATGGAAGAAAATTCCAGTTACATTGCTATGCTATTGCATTCCTATGTCAAGGACTCCAAAATTTACCTCACATATACTGTCTGATTTATACTTACATAGTGAGTTAGAAGAGTATTTTCTGCTACCAGTTTTCTTCCTATTATTTTCAGACTGCAAGATAAAGTTCGAGAAACTATTGAAGCATTGAGAATGGCTGGCATCAAAGTATGGGTACTTACTGGAGATAAACATGAAACAGCTGTTAGTGTGAGTTTATCATGTGGACATTTTCATAGAACCATGAACATCCTTGAACTTACAAACCAGAAATCAGACAGCGAATGTGCTGAACAATTAAGGCAGCTTGCCAGAAGGTAAGAATATAGGTATCTACATCATTCAGGTCAGGGATCAGCAAACTGTGTCCCATTGCCACTGCTTGCTCTTGACAGGGTCAAGTGGTTTTTACATTTTTTTTTTTTTATGGATACAAAAGAATCCAAAAAAGAATACAATTTCATGACATGAAAACTAAATGAAATTCAAATGTCAGTGTCTGTAGAGTAGATTGGAGTGCAGCCACTTTGATTTGTTACATGGTGTCAAATGACTGATTTTCTCTTCCAACAGCAGAGCTGACTAGTTGCTGCAGAGACCTCTGAAGTGCTCTCCCATACCTCACACTGCTGCTTGGTCCGCTGCAAATCACAGTGCCGCAGTTAGGGGGCCTTTAGAAAATTCTTGGAAAATGTGTATGAAGAAAAAAGCTGTGCACGGATTTCAAAACCTTTGTGAATTTTTAATTCTGCCTTCCATGAACATCTTAAAGTGCCCTCATAGAACTTGATGTGGGGGATGCTGTATAGTACCATGTTGTACCCTTTATTGTCAGTGTATGACCATCATGTCAAAACAAGAAAAGAAGAATGGGCTTACAATATCACAATTTTAAGAAACAGTGAAGTGGAGATGATTTTATTATTGATCTAGGAGGCAAACTATTATGTTTATTATATGGTGATATTTTAGCTGGCCTACCTGCTTGGAAAGACATTTTCAAGAATGAATTTAACATCTAGATCATATATACAGTTCTGTTGTATTAAAATTAAAATCTCCTTACAGATGAATCAGTGCTAACAAGGAAATGTTTACAATTAATGTTGATGGTAGGTAGGTAGGGAACATTAACTTCGAACTCTAATGAAGTGAAATATTATTCCCCACCCAAAAAGATGTTATTCTCATTAGTAGACTTCTATTAGGAGTTGTACTCAATTATTACTATGATTTCAACCTAGTCAATAAAAGTTTGTTGAAATTTCATTTCCTTTTTTTTTTCTGATTATAAATATATATCCTTAAAAATACTAAAAGTTATAGATACATTTATGCATTTAATAAAAATATTAAATGCTTAATAATTATAAGCATTTATAGATACTATTTGTATTTTAGCATATATCTTTAAGTCTTCAAATATAAGTGCTTTTCATGAATATGTTACAATGATTAGTATTGTTCCTTTCCTTTTTTGTGCAAAAGTTACAAAGTAAAGAACCTAGGTGGACATTTAGCCTAGAAGTTAAGATGCCAGTTAAGGTGTCGGTGTTTGGCATCAGAGTGTCTGAGTTTGACTCCTGGTTTCCTGTTAATGCAGACCCTGGGAGGCAGCAGTGACAGTTTAAATAACTGGGCTCCAGCTACCCATGTGGCAGACCTGGATTCCCAGTTCCCAGCTTCAGTTCTGGTACAGCCCCAGCTTTTTCAGGCATTTGGGGAATGAACTGGTAGATGGAAGCTTGCTCTTTCATTCTCCTCCCTCCCCATCTCTCTTCCCCTTCCTCTCCCCTCCCCCTCCCCCTCCAACAAATAAATAACGTAAGTTTATATATTAAAGTGAAGACTATACTCAAAGTAGATTTAAGGCTTGCTTTCTTAGTCCATTTGTGCACTATGGAAAAATACCTGAAACCAGGTAATTTATAAAGACGAGAGTTTGCTTGTTTTTTCCACACTCCTGGAGGCTGAGAAATCCAGGATCAAGGCACCAGCAGGTTACCTGATGAGGGCTGCTGCCTGCTTTCAAGAGGGTGCCTTGTTGTTGCCTCCAGGAATGCTGCGTCCTAGAGCAGTGATCCACTCGTGAGGGCAGAGCCCTTACGATCATCACTTCCCAAAAGGCCCCACTTCTTTAAAATATATATATATTTCTTTGAGAGCTGGAATTACAGGCAAAGAGAAGGAGAGACAGAGAGAAAGGACTTCCACTTGCTGGTTCACTCCTCAGATGGCCGCAGTGGCTGGAGCTGGGCCAATTCAAAGCCAGGAGCCAGGAACTTCTTCCAGGTCTCCCACATGGGTGCAGGGGCCAAGCACTTGGGCCATCTTCCATAAGCAGGGAGCTGGATCAGAATTGGAGCAGCTGGGACATGAACTGGCACCCATATGGGATGCTGGCACTGCAGGCAGAGGCTTAGCCTGCTAAGCCACAGCACCAACTTCAATGCCCTACTTTTTTTTTTTTTTTTTTTTTTTTTTGACAGGCAGAGTGGACAGTGAGAGAGAGAGACAGAGAGAAAGGTCTTCCTTTGCTGTTGGTTCACCCTCCAATGGCCGCCGCAGCCAGTGCGCTGCAGCCAGCGCACCGCGCTGATCCGATGGCAGGAGCCAGGTACTTATCCTGGTCTTCCATGGGGTGCAGGGCCCAAGCACTTGGGCCATCTTCCACTGCACTCCCTGGCCACAGCAGAGAGCTGACCTGGAAGAGGGGCAAACGGGACAGAATCCAGCGCCCCGACCGGGACTAGAACCCGGTGTGCCGGTGCCGCAAGGCGGAGGATTAGCCTAGTGAGCCGCAGTGCCGGCCAGTGCCCTACTTCTTAATACCACCATTACAGAGCTTAAGTTTCAGCATGCATTTTGGAGGGGACAGACTATAGCACTTGGCTGTGTGAAATTTATACCATTTTTTGTGGTTTTTTTAAGATTTATTTTTTTATTTGAAAGGCAGAGTTAGAGATTCAGAAACAGAGAGAGAGCAAGAGGGAGGCAGGGAGGGAGAGACAGAGGTCTTCCATCAGTTGTATACCATATTTTGAAGATACTAAGTCTTTTTGGTAGAATATGTTTTCTTCTATAGACATGTAAGTTAATAGGATTTCAATTTATAGACTTTCAGGAAGTGTCTTTCTAAAAATGTTTATGAAAAACTTAGGTAGAGCCAGGAATTCCATACCTTTGATTGCTTTAGTTTATATATCCCTTTCTTCACAAACATATATGGTCTCCTATCTAGCCATTTGGAACAGAGAGTCATATAAAATATGTTGTTTATTCTCAAAATACATGGATTGTAGGAAAAACAGAGAAGTAAATACATTGTCATAGATCTGTCACAACTGAATTGTGACTGAGACAGGCAGAGAGGGAAACTTAGCCTGGACCTAGAGTATCAGGGAGAGCTCTGGAAGAACTGAAACCCTGTTGCCTCCTGAGAGGTGAGAAGTTAACTGGATAAATACCAAAAGCAGAGGGGGAAGGTATGCACATTCACAGAGCTGGGAGGGAGGCTTTCTCAAGAATCCATAGGAAAATGTAGCCCCAGAACAAGGTAGGTGGGAGAGGGTGTGGGCCGTAGCAAACTAAGAGGCTACAGAGATGAACAGGTGCTGTCTACTGTGTTTCATAACTCTATAAGCTTTTCCATATATTTTAAAGATCTATTTATTTATTTGACTGGTAGAGTGTCACAGAGAGAGGAGAGAGAGATCTTCCATCTACTGGTTCATTCCCAAAATCATTCCAATGGCCAGGGCTGGTTTAGTTTAAGCCAGGAGCCCAGAACTCCATCCTCATCTCCCACATGGGTGGCAGTGACGCAAGTACTTGGGCCATCATCTGCTGCTTTCCCAAGCACTTTAGCAGGGAGCTGGGTTGGAAGCAGAGCAGCTGGGACACAAACTGCTGCTCTACATTGGATGCTGTTGTCACAGGCGTTAACCTACTGTGTAACAATGCCGGCCCCTTTTTCATATTTCTTAAATATCCCATGGGTTGTGAGATCATCATACGTCTAGAGAAAACCCTAATTTAATGTACATTGAGTAGATTCCTCCTCACATTTTCTGGCAGCCAATAGTTTGCCCAGCTGCCGGTAGTCAGATCATACTTTTGAGTAGCACTTGCATAGCATATGACAAGTGAGGTGTTATTCCTGTTCCAACATAGTAATATGTGTCATTATCATCCATTATAGCAGTTACAGTAAGACAGCATTGAGTCCTTCATTTCTTTCCTTCCTGCTCACACACATGGTAAATCTAGCTCATGAATCTACCTGAACATTCTTGATTGACTTAATTTTTCAAAATTAGAATTTGCTACAATTGTAGCTAATAATATTTATATTTTTGTAAGAATTTCCATATTCACAGTTTGTGAGAATATCCTTAGATTATGTGTTATAATTCACATTTTAGAAAATATAGTTACTGGGGCTGGTGTTGCAGTGTAGCAGGTAAAGCTGCCGCCTGCCACACTAGCATCCCATATGGGTGCTGGCTCATGTCCCTGTTGCTCCACTTCCAATCTAGCTCCCTGCTAGTGTACCTGGGAAAGCAACAAAAGATGGCCCAAGTGTTTGGGCCCCTGCCACCCACATGAGAGACCTGAGTAAAGTTCCTGGCTCCTGTCTTTGGCCTGGCCCAGCGCTGCTCATTGCAGCCATCTAGGGAGTGAACCAGCAAATAGAAGATCTCTCTCCTCTGTCTCTCCCTCTCCTTCTGAAACTCTGACTTTCAAATAATAAATACATCATCTTCAATAAGAAAAAATATATAGTTATTGTATTTCTGTATAAACTCATCACATAACTGAACTCTCATCATATCAGTATCTCTCAATTCTTCTTAATCTTAACTTTCAGATTATGTAACTGAATTTGTTCCCTGATCTGTCAGTCTTAAAACAGACTGAGTGAACTGTTCATCTTTCATAAGAATCTTTTTTCTATATGAGTGTAAATAATGTTACTTCAGGGTATCTTATGGAGGGTATCATTGTTTTCTCTTTTAGAATTACAGAAGATCATGTGATTCAGCATGGGCTGGTGGTGGATGGAACCAGCCTCTCTCTTGCACTCAGGGAACATGAAAAACTATTTATGGAAGTTTGCAGGAATTGTTCAGCTGTGTTATGCTGTCGTATGGCACCACTGCAGAAAGCGAAAGTATGCATATTTTATGAGAATTCCCATGAAGATATTTAAATCTAAAAATATTTTTAAGTTAATGCTTTACCTAGTTTCATTTGGTGATACGTAGAATATGAATCTTAATCACTTTAACCATATATATTAAATGAATTTCAGAGTCCTCTGAACATTCAAGTTTCAAGTATTTATAATGACTAGAAAATCTGTGAGGGGCAGCAGTTTTTTATCTTGCTGCAATACAAATTTGAAGTGTGATAGCTAATATTACACAAATTAGTTACTTAGCTGGTAAAGGAGCCTTGAAGACTTCAATCCATCTGCACCTTCGAGTGGTTCTTACTCTCATGAAATGATAGTTGTTTGCTAAAAGTGCCCATCAAGTGGTAAACAGATCTTTAGTAGAAAAGTTGAAAAGCAACCTAATGTAATATAAAACTATATTCAGGAAATATTTAAATTTCAGCCACCCATGATTGAAATGGAAATGTATACAAACTCTTTTTAATTCCAGATATGAAATTTGAGGTCTTAGACTGTATCTTTCACAAATATCTTTTGCAGTGCACATTAAGTACTGATTATTTCACATGCATCTAATAGATTAGACATCTAATTTTTTGGGCTTTGTAAAATTTCATTACAGTGCCTAAATTATTGTAACTCAGATACCGTAAGTTATAGAAACTAAAACTGGAGAATAAACAGATTATGTCCAGGTTTTTTATAAAAGTACATTGAAGAATTTGTAAGATTTATTTTTATTTCATCTGGTTTAGTTTTGATTGCTTATTAAAATTTTCTCAATTTTTTTGTAAGAGAAAGCAATTATCGTTCCTATGTATCAAGTGAAAAGAATCATTTCATGAGAAAGAAAAAAATTTTCCTAACAGAATTCAATTAAAGTGCGATTTTTTAACAAAACAAAATTATTAAGCTTTTTAAAATATAAAATGTATTTAAGAGATAGAATGCAAACGTTATACTGTTTTGTTATGAGTTTCTGAAAGACTTCCCTAAAATCTTAATGGAGACATCTCTCAAAAAAGTGAAAACCAGTGCATTTCTTATATATTACAAGATTAGTTCTTTCATTACCATTCTTTTAATTCAGAGTCAGGTCAGATAAATGGCTTTATGCAAATATGAGAAAACTGAAATTCTATGATAAAGAGCTAATTCATTGTCTTTCAGGTAATCAGATTGATAAAAATCTCCCCTGAGAAACCTATAACCTTGGCTGTTGGGGATGGTGCTAATGATGTAAGCATGATACAGGAAGCACATGTTGGAATAGGTGATTGACTTTTTTTTCCTAAACTTTTTAAATTGATGTAATTATTTGGTGGTTTCAGATTTTCCTTTTGTAGACATGTGAATCAAAACTAAATGCAACATAGCAGTATATTATTGTGTAGCTCTGTTAAAATCTATTAAACTCACCATTTAGGATATTTTAGTTCCAAATTTTAAGGAATTAAATACCACTGTAGTGAATTTTATTTTTGCCAATTCTTCTGAATAAAAGAAACTATTTTTTCATGCATTTTGTACCTTATAGAGTACTTGCACACCTTGTTTTACTCTTTTTAAAATCTAAGCTTGTGATTTACAGAGTTGCCCTGATGGTTTTAAAATCTTGTTTTAGAATGTTATTATTATTTACTTTATTTGTGAATCTAAAGATTCTACAGTGAACTTTGAAAATAATTTTAGGTGTAGAAAATTACCCAGACTGTAATAAAAATATAAAATATGAGATAGTTTCTGATTTCAGTAAAAGCCTTTATTCAATTTTCTATTTTTACCTAAAATTTTTATTGGATTCAAAATACTGATATTACTTCCTTACATTAAGTTTATTAATCATTGCATATTTTAACCTCTTAATTTATTAATCATTGCATATTCTGACCTCTCTTCCTCTGTAAGTTTATTTTACAAATAAAGAGCAAAAGAGGAAAATATGGATATGAACTTTTTATTGAAGGATAAACTTTGACAGAAGAGTTGGACAAGTCTCTGTTTTAGAATAGTGCCTGTAATATCCTGTGTTGAGAAGCTGTCAAGTCTGATGTCTCCAATGAATCTCCCAGATCAGCTCCTTCCTCTTTGAGATAATTAACTCTTCATTTTGAAAAGTCGATGTCCTCTCTAGTTTGTACATTGTTGTTTCTATAAATCTCCATAATTTGATGAAACTCTCTATATCATATATTAAAGTACAAAAAACTTTGCTAAGTAGGTCATGAAAGACACATTTCAAATCTCGTAAGGTGGAAAATAAATTTTAAAACCAGAGGCCACACTAGCATATTTGCAGATTATCTGATGAAGTCAGATATTCCTAATATGTGATGTATTAACAAAGTAAGCAGAATAGGAAAAAACTTAAGTGGAAATATGCAGAAGGAATGAAAAAGTATTCAATCTCTAACAGTCAAAGCAATGCTGGTTAAAATTGCCTATCAGATTGGCAGCAATTACAAAAATTGTTAAACCTGAGTTGACAAAGATATAGATAAACAGATACTCTCAAGCATTCTTACTGGAATTATAGATTGGTATACCCTGCACTCTTATTCATAACGAAATTGTAAGTGTACATAGTTCATGGAAAATGCACGTTATATTTTAATCCTATTTTTCCATGAACTTTTTTAAATCCCCATATCTGCCTATTGACATTGCAGTTATGCATCCAGGAATTTCTTTAATAAAATGATTGAATATGTTGATAAAGATATGAGGGGGCCTCAAAGTTCATGGAAAATTTATATTGTGAAAAGACTATGTATAGATTGCAAAGGTTTTTTTTGGCCCCAAATAGCTTACCTTTTAATTCAATTTTTCCATATCTTTTTGAAGTACCCGTGGATATATTATAAGCGATATCCACACTCTATTAAGTAACAAAAGCATTTTGTAACTATCTCATTTTTGTACACATTTTCTTATATATATTAAATACACAGACACAAAGTATGCAGAAGGAAATTCTAAAAGGATATAGACAGAAAACAGTGGTTTTCTCTAGGCACCATGAATAGGTAATTTTCTTTGTACATTTTGGAGCCTTTTGAACTTTAATAACAAAATTTAAAATTTAACTTTGAAAAGTAAGCTTTAAAAGTTTATTTTATATTGAAAATAAATGAATTTGGCAATAACTCTTTTGCTGTTTTGAAGCCTAAATGATTATTGTAACCTAAAAATTATACTCATATTTGTCAGATAAAAGGTTACAATTATTTAAATGATATTGTACAACTTAAAATTTTATTTTAAATATTTTTTTCTTGAAAAAGCACTTACACATAAAAGTTTTAAAAGAGTTAAACTTGCTTATTTTTTGCTAGGTTCAAACAATTCAATATGAATAATTTCAGTGAATATATTCATTGGTAATAGTGAAATTCAAGCTATTTCATAGCATTCTGTCAGAATTCTATTACTCCATGTTTTATGCTTATCAGTATAATAATTTATGCACCTACTAGATCCTTAACTTTCAATATTATTTTTATAATATTGTATTTTATTATACTTCCTTGAAAATTGATGTTACATGTCAGGTATGTATTCCAACTGTCTATTACATATTTAAGTAGAATAACTTTTAGGGACAACTGCTATCTGCTGTAAATGAGGATTTAGTGTTCTTTGTAAGTTCAGGTTCAACCACTATAAACAATTAAGATATTTTCAGATGTATGATGAAAATTATTCTGTGTGTTAACAGTAATCATGCTTTTTTGTTTTCTGTATTACAGGAATCATGGGTAAAGAAGGAAGACAGGCTGCAAGAAATAGTGACTATGCAATAGCTAGATTTAAATTCCTCTCCAAATTACTTTTTGTTCATGGTCATTTTTATTATATTAGAATAGCTACCCTTGTACAGTATTTTTTTTATAAGGTAAGTTTCATGCATAAATAAAATCAATTATTGATATAGTAATTTAAAGTTTCAGCATAAACACTTCTGGTAGTTTCATTATGTAAAAAATTACAGGATTTTTGAAATAAATCTAATTTATACTAATAGAAAGCAAATCAGTGGTAGCTAGGAACAAAAGGTACAGTTGATAGAATTAACTAGAAAGCAATGTAAGAGCTGGTGATAGAAAAGTTCTCTAATTTTATTGTATTTGAATTTGTCAAAATATCAAAACTTACAGTTTAAAGTGACGTGGTTTGTTGTAGGATACAATAAATTTGATTTATTTATTTTAAAGATTTACTTTGTTTATTTGAAAGGCAGAGTTAGAAAGGGAGAGACAGAGAGACGTCGATCTTCCATCTTCTGGTTCACTCCACTAAATCTGATTTTCTTTAAAGTTATTTTGTCTTGGGGCCAGCATTGTGGTACAGCGACATCCAGGCATCCCATATGGGTGAGGGTTGGAGTCCCAGCTGCTCCACTTCTGATCCAGCTTCCTGCTAATGAGCCTGGGAAAGCAGCAACAGATGGCCCAAGTTCTTGGGCCCCTGCACCCATGGAAGAGACCTAGAAGAAGCTCCTGGCACCTGACTTTAGCCTGGTTTCTCCCTGGCCATTGCAGCCATCTGAGGTGCAACACGGGGGACAGAAAATCTCTCTCTATAATCCCAACTTTCAAATGTAAATCTTTTTTTTTTTTTAAAGTTACTTTGTCTTGAACCAGTAAGTAAATTTTCATGTCACTCCAGTATGATGGTTTCAAGCAAAGTTTCTTAACACTTTTTGTGCCCTGCCTGACCTCTTGATAGTGTACTAAAATGTATGTACTCCTTAATATAGTGGTTTTATATGCGTAAAATAAAACAGGTGGATGGAAGACCTCTCTCTGTCTATAACTCTGTCTCTCAAGTAAATAAATAAAACTTTAAAAAATAAATAAATAAAACATAGGATTACAAGGAAACTAATTGTGTTGAAATACTGTTCTATCTCTGGACCCTTTTGGGAGGGTAGAATCTGGAACCCATATAAACAGCCGTTGCTACCAAGACACTTGATAAACCAGAGTGTCTCATATTGCATATATTTCTGTAATTAACAGCTGCAAGCTAATGAAAGAACACTAGTGGACTGCATATTGGTATCAGATGAGCATGGTAGTGTTTTTCTAGCTTATTACTCCAGCTTTTACTTATCAATTCATTGAGATGGAAAGGTGTTTTGGTAGTCCATTTATTGTGTGCTTTAAATATTTTTGTAATATATAAAGCTTTCATAGTCCTAACGTTTAGGTAAATCTTACTTTTTGAACTATAAAAGTACTGAATAAAAATTAGAAGTTTATAAATTAAAAATTACGACATTGCTTGTCAGTTACCAAAGCTAAGGCTTTTTCATTCTGACATATACACTGTTGCTTAGAAAGATGGGAGATGTTTTTAATAAAATGAGAATTCTACTTTCCCATTTTATGCAGACAAGTCCTTACAGACCAATCATCTATTTCATATCAATCTAAGTTGTGTGACCAATTTTGTAGCTAGTCATTTCAGAATTTGTTTTCTCTTGTAGACCTAAATATTTTAATTATATCTCATTTTATCTTGTTTTTCAGAATGTGTGTTTTATCACACCCCAGTTTTTATATCAGTTCTACTGTTTGTTTTCCCAACAAGTAAGTAAACAGAAGTTGTGTTTTGTCCTTTTAGAGTAAGATGTGTATATTTAAATTTTGAATACATTTGGAAGGATTTTTTTCATTTTTTTCTTAGTCCTGCAGGTAACTAAACAAAACTTTCTGATCCATATATTTGATCAGCATAGCATTCATGTTTATTGTGGTTTTCAGTTTGAAGTAAGTGTTGGTGCAAAAGTATTTTTCAGTTGTGGATGCTTTTTTAAACTATGTATGAACTCTTAACAGCTTCTCAGAGAATTTGATAACTTTTTTCAGCTTATTTGTGATATTTCTGTAGCTTCCTTATCAAACCAGGCCAGATGAGCATTGGAGATTCATTTCAGTTTCATTTTTGACTGAGAACTTTTTTAGGTCTGAAAGGAAACTTACTGATTTAGCCAGGATGGCAAGCAAGTTTCATCTTAGGAACTAGCTTTAAATAATTGATAGGGGTCTCTCCAGTACTGTTCTGAAAAGGTTTCAGAGACCACAGGTTCAGACAGGAGATGCTGTGATTGTTTAGCAGTGGCTGTGGTGGACACGGACATGGGAGAAGTCTTCAGTGGCACACATGTCAGGTATTTGCCATTCCTGAACTGTTTTATTTCATAGAAAAAGAAAGTGAAATCCACAGAAATCAAGTAGCTTGCTCAAGATCACATAAGTTGATGAGTCACCCGTGACTTGGACCTACTCCGTCTGATTAGTTGAGCCCCCTTTCTTCATAACACATTATACATCTCAAATTGATTAAGGCATTGTTTCTAATTTGTTGAAAAACTAAGAGCTTAATTATCTTTGTTTTTCATGTGCTGTTTCTGTGCTTAATCACTGTCTTCTCTGGTTTTAGTCTATAATTCTGAATTACAAATAGCTGGTTGAGCACTGATTGCCAGTAACAATTTCTTTATCTGAATGAAATAAGGATAATAAGAATGCTGTAAGATCATATGACAATGTGACCTGATCTGGATTGATGTAGGGTTTTCAGGGACCTTACACTGTAATTTAGGAGACAGTGTTAATAACAATAAAATCAGTATCTGAAGCTTTAGCAAAGTGCTAAGCAGTTAGTACCAATAGTATCACCTATGACTCCTCAGAGAAGGAAGCTATCATCAAGGACTGGCACCACCATGAAAAAAGTTCATAGAAGAAGAATCTTGTTCATTGCCTTAAAGAAAATGTAGGACATACATGGGGTGACCAAGCCATGAGAGCAAAATCATATGTATTACATTTCTAAGGCATGGTAAGACACTAGGATGCTTGTGGGAAAAATATGTAAAAATATATCACAAGGGCCAAATTGTGGAGAATCTTGAAATTTAGATCCAATTCACTGCAATTTCAGAAACATCAACAGCAAATCATTCCAATTTCTACAAAGAATATAAATCTAAGAATATTATATGTCTACGTAAAAATAAATTGGAGTTATTTACTTGGAATTACTTAAACGGAATTTGATGTCAACTGTAAAACCTACAATTGTATGCTTATATTTAATATGCTGCTTTGGGATTATATACAAAAGGGTAATAGTAATACATAGTTTAAATTCTGAAAATTTTTCCAATGTCTCTTTCTAGACACTGTATGACAGTGTGTACCTGACTTTATACAACATTTGTTTTACTTCCCTACCTATTCTGATATATAGTCTTTTGGAACAGCATATAGACCCTCATATATTACAGAACAAGCCTACCCTCTATCGGTAAGTATTTTCTGATATTAAATGTCCACAGCATTTCTGATTGCAAATAATGTGTGCAATAGTTACCAGTTTTAAAATGTACCTAAAAATATAGCCAAATATATTAGGTGGTGTCTTGGCGGTTAATACTTTACTAAGGAAAGTACTTTGGTTGTCTTATGGCTTAATTGGTTATTGATCATCAAAGAAAATTTGAATAACTTTCCCAACATTTTGAAGAATGAATACTTTTATCCTAGAAATGCATTGGATGATTATGTAATTTGTACTTACTGTTGTAAACCAGTAATACTGTCTTTCACATAGAAGAAATTACTCATTAATTAGTTATCTCTAGAATTCCAAAAAAAAGTAGTTTATGTTTTGGTATTACCGGATTTTTGAGTAATAATCACTGCCAAATGCTGGGTTGAGGACATTAATTACCTTCCCAGATTCTCCTGCTTCATTCCTGCTTTGCCAAAACCAAGAAAACACAGAGATGTGAATCCTCCTCTGGACCAACATAGGGGTCTGCTGTAAAGTAATTACAGAAGTGTCTATAGAGGTATCCATTATCCAGATACGGAATAACTCTCTTTGGTTTTCCTGGATATCTAAGACAGGGTATGCATGACCCACGAGTGGCACAAGTTGTTTCTTCTCTTGATAGCTGTTGTTGAGAGGAACATTAGTAAGGAGCCTAGGGGCCAGTGTTGTAGCACAGCAGGTTAAACCACAACCTGTGACACTGGCGTCCCATATGAGTACCAGTTTAGGTCTTGGCTGCTCCACCTGCTGTCCAGTTCCCTGCTAATGAGCCTGGGAAAGCAGCAGAATAAGGCCCACATTCTTGGGTCCATGCCATCCACATGGGAGACACAGATGGCCTGGCCTGGCCCAGCCTCAGCCATTGCATCCATTTGGGGAGTGAACCACCGAATGGAAGATATCTCTCTCCCTCTCTCGCCTTCTTTTTGTCTCTCTCTCTCCCTCTTTCTGTAACTCTCCCTTTCAAGTAAGTAACAAATCTTTTTTTAAAAAATGAATCTAAATGCTGACCCTCACTCAGATGACCTCACTAAAGAGAACATCATGGCAGAGTAACTGAAGGTTCACAGAAGAACATAATACAGATAGCTCAGCTTGTCACAATTAAACTGAAGAATTATGCCTGTATCATTTCTTTCTCAAATGAGAAAGTATTTTGAACTTTGGATGTATGATATTAGAAGTGGTGGTTTGTAAATTTGGATTTATTTTCTCTGCTAATATTTTCAAGCAGTTTTAAATTAGAATTTATTTTTTAATTACCAAATATTATTATTTAACAGGTAAATAATAAATCCTAATTTGTCACTTTTTCTCTTTCTCCTTTTCTTTAATTTAGAGACATTAGTAAAAATCGTCTGTTAAGCATTAAAACATTTCTTTATTGGACCATCCTGGGTTTCAGTCATGCCTTTATTTTCTTTTTTGGATCCTATTTTCTAATTGGCAAAGATGCATCTCTGCTTGGAAATGGCCAGGTAAAATATTTAGTTTTGGAAAGAAAATGCTTAAATAGTTTTATTTGGTTTGGTTTTTGATAATTTTCTGTCATAGAAAATAAAATAAAAATTAGATCTAACTCATATAGTTTGAGATGTTAAATTAAAATGTAAATACAAGTTTAAAATTTTTAACTTTATAAAGTTTCACACAAATAGAAATTGAAGCAGAAAGGCTATAGAGAATATAATCTGAAAATGAAACTGAAATGACTAGACAATCAAGCTAATTCAGAAATTAGCTCACACAGTGGGTTGTGGTCTGCCCCTTCCTGCTTCTCATCTGAGAACTGTGTTTTCATAGTAGCTGCTGTGTATCTGATGTGCTATGTGCCGAGACACAAACCAGCATCCCCTATCTTTGCAGGCGGCGGCTTAACCCACTGCACCACAACACCAGCACCACACTAACTACTTTTCAAAGGGAGATCCCTTCCTGTTTTGTCTTGTTTTGTCCATTTACTACTAAAGTGTATAGGGCCTCAAAGGAAAATATCTATCATTAATGATATTTTCTCTTCATGAAAATGTATACCTTGGGTCAGCGCTGTGACACCACAAGTTAAATCCCCAGGCTGTGGCGCTGGCAGCCCATATCCATGCCTGTTCAGGTCCCAGCTGCACCACTTCCCATCCAGCTCCCTGCTGTGGCCTGGGAAAGCAGCCGAGAATGGCCCAAGGCCTTGGGCCCCTGTACCCATATGGGAGACCTGGAGGGAGTTCCTGGCTCCTGGCTTCAGATCAGCCCAGCTCCAGCCGTAGTGGCCATTTGGGGAGTGAACCAGCGGATAGAGGACTTCTCTCTCTCTCTACCTCTGTCTGTAACTCTGTCTTTCAAATAAATAAAATCTTTAAAAAAGAAAAAAAAGAAAATATATACCTCGTTTAAAAAAGTAAATTAAAATTTAAAAGATATAGGATGGGAAGAAAAAGTGAAAAGTTGTTAGAGCAGTCTAATTCCAGTTAGGCTTCTCCATTAAAGAGTTTGAGATTGTCAGACCTTCATTACCAAGCTAAAACACAATATTCTATTACATTAAAAATTAAATGGAAAATAAAGACAAAAGAGAAAGTAACTCTTCACCTCTTCATCAAGCCTTGAAGATTCAGGCCATTTGGCGATTAGTTGGGGGTGAACAGTTAGCAATGCAGTGTAGAATGAAGGAGATGAAATTTCAGCTTGTAATTTTGAGAAGCAAAAACACAAACCTTTGTTGTGGTATTTTCTATTTTTCTGTAATTTTTAATTATTTCTTTTCTTATTTCTGACCTTTAATTTCTTTTTCATGCGATACATGTTATGAATTGTTAAAAGCTAATCATTAGGTGATAAGAGCTGGAAATATGCTACATTGTATCTGTATCCCACAGAGAACCCAGTGTCCTTTATTTCGATTCAAATAACTCAACTACTGTAATTTCTAATCCAGTCATTCAAGAAAACATCTATAATTTAATTCCTAAAGATAGATAAGAATTTTTATTAGAAGATTATATGGTAAAGGTATCTTTATCTAATCCATTGTAGAATTTCCTTGTATGCTGGTTTATTCATGAGACACATACTTAAAGAACTAACAATATTCCAGATACTTAATTGAAAATCAGATGTAACTGAACTTTAGAAACATATATCTTTCTTCTTATGGTATGACAATTGGTCTTTTGTTACCATTGATGACTTAGTTTCTACTGGAGAGCTGAACAACTAATTACTCTAAGAAAGGTAATTCTCAAATTCTTAAGCAGATAGGTGGATAGTCAAGCCTGATAAAGAGAAGGTTTTCATCTTTTGTTTGTTCTTAAACTCATTCTTCCTTAACCCAGGACTTTGTTCCTATAGTTAGCCCTTCTTTGTCCTCTGTTGGCTCAAATCCAATACCCTATGAACATGCTGTCCCATATTGTAATAAAAAACATACTTCCAGACCTACAACTGCCTGCTCTGATGACATTTTTTCTGTATTTAGAGCAAAACTTGAATAAGTTATTAAGTTATTCCTTGTCACTGTTTCTACTTCCTGTCTTCCTGTTCACCCTTAAAGATCTTTATGATCTAAAATCACGGTTTTATTGTCACCACCAGTTCTGCATTACTGAATCCAAGAGCATGTCTCAGACCTTAGGAATTTGACCATCAGGCACAGTGTTCCTTCTATTCTCAGCCTCCATACTTAACTTTGACTTCCTAATATTTTTTACTACCCACTTTCAGTCTTTTCTTTCTGCCCTCAGAATCAGCTGGATAATTTTTTGTTGTGGGGCTGTCCTCTGAATTGGAAAATGTTTAGCAGCATGCCTTGCCACGACCCACTAGATACCGGTAGCACACATACAACATCTCCCTGGTAATGATAACCAAAAATGTCTTCAGACTCTGCCAAATGTCTCCTGAGGGACAAAATCACCATGGAGCAATGTCCAGGGCTCAGTCCAAGGCTGAGTTTGTTTGTTTTAAAGAAGGGGATATGGTTTAATTATTTTTAATTTGTTTTCTATGAAAAGCAGAGAAACAGAGACAGAGATTTTTCATCCGCTTGTTCACTCCCCCAAATACCCACAACAGCCAAAACTAGGAGCCCAGAACTCAATCCAGATCTCCCATGTGGGTGGCAGGGACCCCCAGTACTTGAGTGATCACCTGCTACTTCCCAGGATGCACATTAACAGGAAGCCAGAATTGGAAATGGAGCCAAGACTCAAGTCTAGGGACTCGACTGTGTGATAAAGGCAATGCAGACATCATCTTAACCGCTGCACCAGCCGTCTGCCCCACTTCTTTATCTGAACACTGGGTGCACGCATGCTTCCTACCTGCAGCTGATTCCAGAAGGAGGCAAATTGGATAGAAACTATTTTTAAAATCTTTGTCTCTTCTGAGCAGGCATAGATCCAGGTTTAGTAAAATTTACCAAACCTTCTTTAAGAAGAAAAAAGAAACTTTACAAATATAAAGTTACTGTATGTGAAAGTGCTGTGAGTGACATAAATGTGTCCTACTTCATCCAAACCAAATGTAAGCTCAACTCATTTCTCTTCAGCCAGGTTCCCAAAATACCCTCTCCACCCACTTCATCACCAACCAGCAAAACAGGAAGTCATAATGGAAAGAGACTACAGTCTAAACTAAGTGATTTCCGTTGAAATCATTACTCTTTATGATATTACCCACCCCCATCAAATGTGACAGTGTTTCCATGACCCCTTCTAAGGCCTGGGAAAGGGCTTAGGCAAGAGGAAGCCCTAAATCCGCTATGGCCGAAGTCCCCTGGCTACATTGAAGTATCTGTCCCCACAGTCCTGAAAGACAAGACTGGTACTTCTCCAAGTGCTGAGTTGAGACTCACTTATCTTCAGCATTTCTGAATCATTTCTATAGATGATAAAAGTAAGAAAGTAAGAACAAGTTCAGTATGACTTTCCCATTCTTCTCTTGACAAGTAAACTCTCCAAATACTCTCAATGTCTGTAATCTGAGAGTGGGCACTTATCCTAACAGTAAAGACAGCAGTGTCCCAGATCAGAATTAGGTTAGATTCTCAGTTCTGACTCCTAACTCCAGCTTCCTGCTAATGCAGAAGTAAATAGCTTCCTGCCACCCACATGGGAGACCTGGATGGATTGCCCAACTCCTGATTTTGGCCAAGCCCAGCCCTGACCACAAACCAGCAGATGGGAGCTCTCCCTGTCTCTCTAGTTTCTCCCTCCCTCCCCCTACCTCTCTCTCTCCCCCCCACCTCCTCCTCCTCCCTCTCATATAAATAACTTGAATTTTAATAAATATTTCACTTTTGGTAATAACTATTTTATAGTAACTTATAATAACTGTTTATTTTACTGATGGTTTGTTATCTACTGTCCTTTTTTGTGTGCCCTAATTCTTATAGAAACTTACGAGATTTAACAATAAAGTTAGTTTATAGGTAGGACTAAGTAATTTATCAAGTAATGCTAATTGTTAGAAATCTATTCTTAAATGACATTTTCAAATATTTCTTTAAACTAATGTTAAAATTATGACTACTTTGTAAGCCAAATTAATATTAATCTCTTGTTCTACTACATGTGAAAATAAAATCTTGATATTCTTTTGGGATTCTGTATGTTTAATAAACCTTAGTAAAAAGAATCCTTTTTGGCATTAACTGCATTTTTACATGGAATCCTTTGAAGAGTAATTCTAGTGGCCATTATCTTTCCTTTCAGATACTGATTTTTAAGGTAAATTTCTTTTCTTCTGCTCTGCTTATACAGTGTGGCAAGCCAAGTGGTCTGCTGTAACTTCTGGTTGGGAGAACATGGCTTTGTTAGCATTTTTACTTTGTAACAGAAATAAAGTAGCTATGAACAACTAAATCAGCCTGTGCAACATAATTCTAAACCCATTCTTGGGTTCTCAGTCTGATGCTATCCAAAGGATCATGATGTATAAGAAAAGTGATGTTTATGATAAAGAATGAAATTACTTTTTAACCAGATGTCTGGTTTAACATCATGACACAAAATGTAATAGTTTATTCTTTCTATTTAGATGTTTGGAAACTGGACATTTGGCACTTTGGTCTTCACAGTCATGGTTATTACAGTCACAGTAAAGGTTAGTACTGAAATTATGAACTTGGACACATTTGTGTTTATATAATTAGTACTTAAATGTCTTCATTTCTTTAGTTTTAGGTATTTCCCTTTCCTTACTGAATAATGAGTAATTTCACTTACTCTTTTTTTAATAATTCATTTAAATTTTATCCAAAAATATCTTTTATTATTTTAGAAAGTCTTAGCTAATTCTTATGGTCAAATAAAAATAATAGTCATTGAAATTTTGCTTCTCTATAAGTAATGCAAAACAACAAACTTTGTTTTGGGCCATATAGTTGAGAATAATCAGATGAAATTTCAGCATTGCTTCCTCACAAAAGAAAAATACTATAAACTTGAAATTATTCAGTTTCTTAAAGGACTCTTACATAAGTATTTTTCTTTTGAGAGACTATGCCATGAGACTTTTAGACACTTAAAATTAATGTTTTATTCTTTAGTTTTATCTAACATGTTAAAGCTTTACTATTTTATATTTCTAAGGATTTTTTAAAAATTTTTTAGATGGCTCTGGAAACTCATTTTTGGACGTGGATCAATCATCTTGTTACCTGGGGATCTATTATATTTTATTTTGTGTTTTCTTTGTTTTATGGAGGGATTCTCTGGTGAGTTACTATATTATATTTTGATTATATTGATTGACCTATAATAAATGTTTATTGTGATGATTTCATTGTGAATAAATTTCACCTAGAAGAGTTTTGATACCCTATCCTGATAATAAAGTCACTTCTTTTGGTTGATCTTACTGACATGGAGGTGAAAAACTAACATTTATTGAATATCTACTATATTCTAGAAGTTTTATCTAAGGTACTGCACGATTCATTACAGTATAATCTTTTTTTTTTAATCTTACTTTTTTTTTCTTTTTACCAAGAAACAGTTTATTTAATGTATACAAACTTCATGCATTTCATATATACAAATTTAGGAAGACAGTGATTCTTCCTACCCTACCCTCCCTCCTGCCCATACTCTCACCCTTCTCCCTCCTCCCTCTCCTAGTCCCATTCAAATTTTTTACTAAGATCTATCTTAATTATCTTAAACATATAAGCTTAACCCTAAACTAAGAGTTTAACAAATGGTATGAAAAATAAAAACCTGTTTCTCAACAGTCAAGACAAGGGCTCTTCAAAATCAGTGCATCTCCAAGTCTCAATCTAACTTCTATAGATTACCTTTTAGGTACTCTATTAGTTACCACAGATCAGGGAGAGCATATAGTATTTGTCTTTCTGGGACTGGCTTATTTCACTAAGTATAATGATTTCCAGTTGCATCCATTTTGTTACAAACAAGATTTCATTTTTCTTTTTTACTGCTCTGTCATATTCCATAGTGTACATATACCATAATTTTTTTTAATCTACTCTTCAGTTGATGGACATCTGGGTTGATTCCGTATATTAGCTATTGTGAATTGAGCTGCAGTAAACATGGGAGTACAGATAACTTTTTCATATGCTGATTTCACCAGTGGCTTGGGCTGGTGCAGGCTGGTCTCACTTCACTCTCCAAAGCTGGTGCTGAGGCTCTTGGGTGCTGGGGTTTGTTGTGTCAGTGTTCCTGCTGTGCATCCACAGCCTCCTTGTGGAGCCACAGCATCCCTCTTCCTTCCACGGAGTTTCCACTGCAGTTTTCTCCCTAACTTTTCCGAGATCTCACTCTTTCCACTTTTTAAAGCTATCTTCCCCTAGCCTAGAGCAGTAAGCTCCCTCCCTATTCCACCATCTTGGAATCTTCCACAGTAATATTATCCCCATTTTTCCTATGTGGAAATAGCTCCAAAGTTACAAAGGTAGAGAAGTAGCAGAGTCAGGATTTAAACTTCAGTTGTTTTGCTTCACAGTGAGTGTTCTTTATACTAACCATATTACCTCCAGATTATTTATTAATGTGTATAATAAAATCCAATAGAACCATTAAATTTTGATTGTTGAGTTAATGTCTCTCTGACAGGTTAGTAATATGGTTCATTTTCATTGGTAGAATCAGATACTTAGCTAACTATTCTGATCTATGAAAAATTAATGCTTCTACTAAGATTCTGTGGTAAGTGATGGACACCCAAAGTCTCTCTGTTAGAAAATTTATATTATATTTGTCTAATGTGCATTTGATCCATTTATCAGGCAAAGACTTTGGAAGTTAGTCAAAAAAACTTAGATTAGCTAAACATTAACTTCCATTTAGGATCATAAAAAGATATTCCTATTAGTATTGCTTTTTTATAATCCTCTTCTCCATTTCTTTCTGTATTCCCCTATATTCTTTTGAAGTGATATATACAAAAAAAACAAAAAAGATAAGTAAAACCCCAATAGAACATCTTTATAATACTATTACTATCTAGAAATATTATTTGTGAGTATATTTATTTTAAAATATGTTTTTAAAGAAGAGCCTATGAATGAATAAGCAGAATAAATAAATAAAGCAGTAGAAAATATTTTGTTGCTTTTCTTAGTCTCTTAATCTGAATTACTGTATTTCTCTTGCTGTCCCACCATTTAATGAGGGTTATCTAGTCAACTGCTTGTCACTCCCCTACTAATAAAAACCATAACTGTTACTAAAAATAATTGAAATGGATTTTATTTTTTGAAAAGCCCATCTTGTATTAATTATCAATTCAGAACATTTTCCTGGACTGCTCTTAAAATTGTTACTTTCAGGTATAGTGTGTTTGTTTGGTGTCTTGGTTTAAGTCTTTGAGTTTTACTTTTATGAAGTCCACTGTCTGTCTTTGCAGGCCCTTTTTGGGTTCCCAGAATATGTACTTTGTATTTATTCAGCTCCTATCAAGTGGTTCTGCTTGGTTTGCCATAATTCTTATGGTTGTTACATGTTTGTTTCTTGATGTCATGAAGAAGGTATTTGACCGACAACTCCATCCTACAAGTACTGAAAAGGCACAGGTAACCACCTTTTATATTCAACATCTTTTTAATTATGAGCTTTAATGATGAACAACTATGACTGTAATTTGCTTACATCAGAAAGTAGGAAATTACCTGTTCCTGTATCAAGTATTTTGCAGTATGAACATTGTCAAATATGATTTTAAGTTGTTTTATTATTTTTAATTTTATGACTACTGATAAATTATAATATTTTAAAATTACATTATTATTAATAAAGCTCTAGGTTTTGAATACAGAACTATTAATTTATATCCAGATAATAACAATAGCTATATTTTAAATAATATTTTCACAGCATTTAATCAGATATATATTGAGATATATAGCTATGTCTTTTGAAACATTAGAATTTGAATAATTTTTTATGCTATTTTGTTTTTACAAGGTATGAAATAAGTTCTTTAACCTAAATAATCTTTATAGAGTAGATTTTTATAAAGTGTTATATGACTAAGGATTTATTAATAAATGTTGAACTATAGCACACAGTCATAGTATGTTACATAGTGCTTAAGCATATGGGGTTTAAATATCCATGTTTCATTCTAAATAAGAAAGAATATGCGGTTTGGGGCCTGAGAGGTCTCAGTTCAGATCCAAGCTCCACCACTTAGTAATTCTGTGACTTTTCATCTCAGCTTCCTCTTTGGGAAAATTATAATAGAAATGTCTTTCTCATTACCTTTGTAGTGAGAATTAAATGAAAGAATATATAGTAGATGGTCAAGAAATTGTAGCTGTTAATTGGATGTGTCTTTTTTGTATAATTGACTAGTACAGGAGCTAGAAGTCCATCTTAAGTTGGCTTTCTAACTGTACCATAGTGTTGAGTACATATCTGAAGAATATATTCTAATTAATGCTTATGTACTGTAAATGCTAGATTAAGTTGGTTTTTTTTTTTTACATATTTGTTTCATAACAAGCAAATTTTGTTTAAATTTGGGGCAGTTAGTTGCAGATTCATCCTGCAAATAGAACACATACTTCCTAAGTATTTAGGTAACTGAATGAGGCTTCCTAAATAGTGAATTGGTTTTAATTATTAGTGATATCAGCAATGTTTCCTCAACATTTAGTTGCTGTGGAAACTTAATCCTAGCCAATATTCATTTTAACATCATTGAGGTAGCATAGACCTTTGAAACCCGACAAATGTGAATTCAAGTACTGTTTCACTTATAAGACATAAATCCATGATCAGGTCACTTTGCTAGACCTTAATCTCCTCCTCTGTAAAATCAGAATAATAATTATTACCTTACATGACTGTGCAAGACAATAACACCTGACACTAACACTGTTTCTACAAACAGTCCTCAGTGAAGACATTGCCATTGTAAGTATGAAGCAGGTGCCAGTGTTGCTGTGATAACGGACCTCCGGATGGGGCTCTGAAATTTTACAAGTTCAGATTACTCTGCCTATGGCTGTACAAATGTTTATGTCAGTATAGACAGACTCCTCTACTCTGCAATGTATTGCTTAAATATATTTCAGAAAAATTTTCCCACTTCCTGTTTCTAATTTTCAGAAATATTTAAAGCAAAATCATTTATTTTTAACATGATGTATTTTTCATAGCAATATATATATATATTTTAGAGCAAACAATTTATTTTCCCTTTGTGGCCTCCATAAAACTATATTTCACCAAAGTCCATCAGTTATTTCACTTTTAATTCTTACTTCTTTATAAAAGTAAATATTCAAACTTATTTTCATTTTTCCTTATAAATTCTGTGTTGGGCAGAGTATTTGCAAGCTTGTATTTTCATCAAGATTTCTTAATGATAAAACAAAGATATTACTTCTTGTTATCTTTTCTATTGCTTCTTTTTTGAAGGATTACATAGAAAATATTTGATACCTTAAGATGGGCCCTTAGAAAAAAGTTTAAAATGCTTATACAGATAATATAATGTATATAAATTCCTTTACCATACCATAAATCAAAACTGATTAAAAATTGAATGGGCAGTAAATCATTTTATCTGTGTGTGAAACCCAGTATAATCTCCTTTTTTGGTTCACTGAATTCATTTCCAAAAGGCTCACCCAAGATGTACTAGGTTATCTAATCCAAGAAGGAAATCTCTACCCTCTCAGTAATTGTCTAGCCTGCTGCGAAGTTTGGGGTTGGTTGTTTATTTAGTGAAACAGTATATGATCATTTAAATCCTATATATGACATTATTCCTTTGCTATATGTAGTAATGAGTGTTTTAGCCTTATACCATCACTTCTGAGTTCAGATGATGGAGAAATGGTTAAAAAGCTATTTTGTTGTTTAACAAAAGTAGCAAGAAAATTGGTATCAAAAGAGCTGTCAACATTTATTCTGAGCTTTGTTTTTCTCCAGAATAACAATGTGGAGTTAAGAATGAAGAATAAATTCTTTTGATGACAAAACCAACAGCCATACAAATGTCAGTCATGTATGATATTACCTACTTTTGTAGGAAAAGATGTACATTATTTGCAAAGCTTGTCCTGTGTCTGTCTCATAGGTGATGAATGCAGCTCACTGACTTGTTGTGTGTCCCATCCCTTTTCTGTCCACTTATAGATGTACTCCAACACAGTCGCTTTAAGTGACGAGTTCATCGCACTGCAGCCTTTGTCGAGGGCAAGGAATCAGCTGAGCAAACTTAGGTAGAGTAGGAGGAGTAGAACCTCATTAACCCTTCTGCATGCTAAAGGTCAATTAAACAGTATCCAAAAGATGGGCAGAGGCATGAAGAGGGGGCGTTTTTGTTAGCACAGCTCTGTCTCTGATGAATTTGACCTTTACTAGTAATGTGTGTTAAAACCTAAAAAAAAATCCATTTCTCTTTTGAGAAGAAAATTCACATGGAAATTCAACATGATAACAGGACAGAGATCTGTTATCTTTTTTTTTTTTTGCCTTAACTACCTTTTCTAGCATAATTCTAATGCTTCTGCTTGTCATGTTATTCATTTTTGAGAATGCTTCTGCATGTTGGGTAATTAAAGCTATAAAAATTCATCATAAAGTTTAAGCTTTTAAGATGTAGTTACTTAGAACTGAGAAGTTGTCCATTTTTATCTTGCCTTAATCTGTGTTGTAAATACATGTGCATATTTGTGTTTGTACACTGTAATGGCTGCCAAAGTATTTCATATCCTTGCTACTATTTAGTGCATCTATAAATTGAACAGTATATTTTGTATGTCTTATATATATACATTATCTCCACAGACATCTTGTGTTTTAAGCTGCTCTGATCAACATTCCATGGGTAGTTTAACTGTTTACTCTTGCAATTGAGAGGAAAATTGTGTAGATATTAGATATCTTCAAGAGCTTTCAAATATTTAATCAGATTAAAAACCATTAGCATAAAACTATAAGCAATTTTTAAAAGAAAGCTTATTTTGAGGATTTTTTCCCTTCCCCTGTGTTATAAACAAAACCTGTAAGCTATCTTCTACAAACTTAGCATACTCTTTAATCCAAAGGACTCTACTGCATTTTTATAGAAATAGTTATTAATCAGTCCTAATTCACATACAGATGATGCAAAAAGTAAATTTTCATTGTTGACATTGTCTCATAATTTAATAAGGGTTAAAATAAAGATGCTACAGGCACATTTTTAAAGTAAACTTCCTTAGAAGGTCTCTAAGGTAAATATAAGTTAAAAAAAAAAAAGAACTGAAATTCACATAAATTAATTGACCTCCACCAAACATATTTCAAATTAAGGATTAAGTTTACTGTGTAAACTAATCAATCAAGTGTAGCCCTTGACCCACATATCTGTGACATTTGTAAGGCCATGTGACCCTTCTGCTCTACTGAAGTCCCACTAGAAAACTTCCCTGAGAAGGGAGCTCAAGAGGTGGGACATTAGCATACCTTTGTAGTAGGAACCCTAAATCTTGATGGCAATAAATTTGATAGAAGAAACTGAGTTTTATTAAAGGAAACCTACCTGATCTTAATTTAGCTTTGTGCACTGGAAAATTGTGGCTTTGTGTGCTTTGTTGTGTTCCCCTTAAGAAGCTGCTATTTGCTGTCTTTTGTGATAGTAAATGTGCTACTGTGTGAACATTCATTTGTGCCTCCCAGATTGTGGACCTCAGCTTGTGGCTTTGATTCAAAACCTCTGTATGGTGAGAGTGTCATTCTGAACTGAGACTCACTGCTTTTCTGTCCTTCCAGATGGAAGAAGATAAGGGTTCAGTCAGCTCAGCATATGAACTTGCTGAAAGCCAGCACAGAGGGGAGGACAGTAGGCACCTGCTAGCTGAGGCTTGCAGCGAGCAGCAGAGTTGTTGCGTGCACTAGGTAGTACCGCGCTGGACCTTCCTGGGGACTCTGCTAAGTTCTCGTGCTTGGGGCATGCTGTGGGAAAACTGACCTGACATTGCCACCTCTTCTTTACTAATTCCTACATCATTTCTCATGTGCTGTTTTGATTTAGTTGTGTTCTGTTTCTGTGGTCTTCACATTTTCTGAATGTCCACCCATGAGTATTCATCAGTCTTTTTTGGAGCCACAGTGATAAATCATACTTCACCTCAGATTCTAACATAACTAAGTATTCTTAGAACTTGTTATCGTGAATTCAAGAAATTAGTCCTTTTCACTTCTTTTGAAAATACATTATGCTATTTCTATGGTTTCTGACCTCTTTTTCCTCTTTGAAGTTATAGTTGTACATTTCATTTAATATAGTTTAATGTAGTCACACTAAATTACTTATCTACCTCTTGAACTGAATGATCAAGTGGATAAGTACAGAGAATTAGTATGGAGTAATTGTTTTGATGATATGTTCAAGAAAACCTGTTCTTACTTTTCTTAAAATTTAATTTTTTATTTAATTTTTATTTATTTATTTATTACACTTTTGTAGTTAAAAAATATGAATTGAAGAGAACTTGAGGCCGGCGCCGCGGCTCACTAGGCTAATCCTCCGCCTAGCGGCGCCGGCACACCGGGTTCTAGTCCCGGTCGGGGCGCC